GAGTTTCCTCGCTTCATATCCAGCGCACAATGGCCACCCAAATCTCCGGTACTAAAGCGTGTGGACTATTGTATATGGAGTATTTTGGAAAGCAAGGTTGACACTAAAAAATCCCAAGTATCGATCACTCAAACACGGCTCGCCGGGAATGGACCAAATACCGCAAGCCATTCGGGCAGCGTGTGGCGTTTTCATTGGCCGTTGAAGGTCATAATTCGTGCCAACGGTGACCAATTCGAACAAATCTAAACTTATTCCAAATTTGATGCTATTCCGACATTATTGCTTTCATTCATAAATTAAAAGAAATAAAAATTATGGCGTTTGACTTTGGTGAGGTTTTATCTCACCCTGAACATATGCAATATTCATGCAAAATCTAAAACTGGCGAAAGCGAATATGTTTGATTTCAGTAATTTACCAATTTCCCTCGTATATATTTTTTGTGGGTCTGCTGATATTTTCCAGTTGACTTCATCTTCGAACCTTATCAAAGAAATTTTCTTGTATCACTGTCGTCTTCATAGGCAAATGTTGTTGATTTTGTATTTAAGTGTGTATTATAGTACGTACATACCTTTTCTCACTGACCCTAAGAATATTGAAAACAAAAATATGAAATAAAATTGATAATCGTTTTGTATGGCAGATGATACCACCTTGGACTGCTATAGCCAAGTCAAATGAGAATGCTATATTTTGCAAATTCGAAACATTTAAATTGAGTTTCGTTCGTACAGTGTTAGACATTGGTTGTTGGTTTCGGTTAAAAATTATTAAGACGTTTATTAAATAAATAATATAATTTTTTTTTCAAATTGATATATTTTTCATAAATAGGGACTTTGAGCCAAAACCTGTTGAAAATATGTCGCAGGCCAAATTAATATCCGGTACCCAAGTGGCCAAGTGAGTGTTTGTTGGAGAATAATGTGGAATTTTGGTGAAAGTTTATTTGCATTTTATCAATATTCTAGTGAAATTCGCGAATCTTTGAAACAAAAAGTCGCGGATATCAAAAAGATTTGCCCGACTTTAATCCCGGTCTGTGCATGTCCAAGTTGGTGGTCGTGAAGATTCCAATGTCTATATTCGCATGAAAATCAAGGCTGCCAAAGAATTGGCATTGAAGCCCAACATTTACAATTGCCCAGAACTACCACCGAAATCGAACTACTTGACAAGGTAAGCAATAAACAATTATGCAATGCAAATTCAGTTAATAGATGCATGAAGCTTTATGTTTCTATGTGTGTGAGTAAATTAGTTTATTAAATCTAGCAACAGTTCTAATTTGTATAAAACTGCAAGCGGATTATGGATGACAAAGTAAATTAATGACTATTTTTATATTAATTAGTATTTTTTGCTTGAACTTGACCCTACGACAATAATATAGAGGTTATATTTCTGATCTGCGGAAAATTTATGGAATTGACGATGTTAAATTTAGAAGTATTAAAAACAAATATTTTATATTAGACATTTTATTAACATTTCTCACCGAATAGATGCAATTTTTATAAAAATATCCCCAAGAATTGGAACACATAATTTTCACATTAATTTCGGCGGGGCCGAACTTTTAATACCCTCCGCCAACAAACATTTGTATATAAAAGTATTTGAATTCAAACGTGTTCCACTTCAAACTACAAATACCAGTAAGATGATGCTGTTAAACTTTTCAAAAAAACATTAAGTGGGTTAGGCCGTTATGTAGGAGGAACGGGAACCTCAATAGACATATATATCTTCTTAAATACCAATTTGAAACAATTTTATGGGTAAATGTGACTAGATTATTAAAATACCAAATATCGTAGTATCGTTATATATACATTATAGGAGTTAGAACCCATTATGAACTACAAACACCAATTTTTAGACAAATCCCAGGAAAATGTGCAAAAGTCATTAAAATACCGAATATCGGGAGGTACCGTTATATGGAGGATATACAAAAACGTTGAACTATATATAATGTTTCGCCACGGAAGCTAGAACTCATTATGACCTACAAACTCCAATTTTTAGACAAATCCGTGAAAAATGTGGGCGGATCACCGAAATACCGAATATCAGGAGGTACCGTTATATGGCGGCTATACCAAAACCTCCTGTTGGAATGTCAAAGGTCTGCGGCCAAATGTTTGCGTGCCCAAGGCTTTAATACACCCTCCAAAATATTTTCGCGACAATATTCGGCATTTATTCTGATGCCAGGGTCGACTAATACGAGCGGAGAGCGACCATTGGCTGTTATGGCGGCCCACACCATCACAATGGCCGGCGCTTGAGTTCTGGTGGCCAACCGAAGGTGCACATTTTCAGCTGTTTACAAACTGCTGGAAAACGAATGTTTCCTCATTGGAGAAAACCAAATTCGGCAGTTCACCACTTTCGGCCACTTACTTCTTTTAAGTCTATTTTCTTTCAATTGCGGTGTAAGTTCTTGCACTTTTTGGACCTATATATCTCATTTTCAATACCAACCTTCCTAGACTCAATACAAATTATTCTGCCAAATTTTGAAGCTCTACGTGAAATAATCGTGTATCGTTAATTTAACAGACAGACGGACATCGTTAGATCGACTTAGAATTTTATGCTGACTATGAATATATATACTTTATGGGGCCTATGGCGAATAGTTGGAGATGTTACAAACGGAATGAGAAGGTTAATATACCCTCCTTTTCAAGGTGAATGGTATAACAAAATGTAGAGCTTTTTACCCTCCACCATACTTTGGAGAGTATATGAATTTTGTCATTCAGCTTGAAACTTCTCGAAATACTCATATTAGACCAAAAAAGTATATATACAGGGTGAGGTGAAAAAACTGCAACCAACTTGAGACTGGTGCAATTCCAAGCCACTCGTCCGACAGCTGTTCAAATTATTCCAGTGACTGGCCATTATATTTTTTACAAGCGTACAAAAGCATTTTGGTGAGAATTTTCCAGAAAAAAAAGTTATTCGTGATGGAATTCAAGCGTGATAGTGTAATTTCTTTATATTTGGCTGTAAAACCAAAAGTGGTTATCGTTAGAGCACTCCAGCATTTACATGTGAATAAATCTTTTGTGTCTCCAACCATCGCTCGTTACCGTGATACTGGTAGCGTAGCCCGACGTCAAGGAAGTGGACGGAAGAAAACAGCAACATCAGCAGAAATGGTTCGAAAAGTAAAGAAGCGACTTGACCGAAACCCGCGTCGCAGTGGCCGAAAAATGGCTCGTGAGCTGAACACATCGCATTATTCAATTCGGCAAATATTGAAAAATGAGCTCGGGGGTAAAGCAATTGAAATTCCAAAAAGTGCAAGAACTTATACCACAACGGAAAGAAAATAGACTTAAAAGAACTAAAGAGTTGCTTCGCTTGGCCGAAAGTGGTGAACTGCCGAATTTGGTTTTCTCCGATGAGAAAACATTCGTTATCCAGCAGTTTGTAAACAAACAAAATGATCGTGTTTACTTGCCAAAGAGGTCAACTGAAAATGTGCACCTTCGGTTGGCCACCAGACCTCAAACGCCGGCCATGGTGATGGTGTGGGCGGCCATAACAGTCGATGGTCGCTCTCCGCTCGTATTAATCGACCGTGGCATCAGAATATTGTCGCGAAAATATTCTGGATAGTGTATTAATGCCTTGGGCACGCAAACATTTTGGCCGCAGACCTTGGAAATTCCAACAGGACTCAGCACGCGCCACCCAAGAATGGTTACAAAATGAGGTTCCTCGTTTCATTTCATTTTGGCCACCAAAATCTCCGGATACCAATCCGTTGGACTATTACGTCTGGAGTATTTTGGAAAGCAAGGTTGGCACTAAGAAATACCAAAGTGTCGATCACCTCAGCAAGCGCTTCGCCGGGAATGGGACAAAACACCGCACAGCAACATTCGGGCAGCGTGTGACGGTTTCATTCGACGTTTGATTCGTGCCAAAGGTGACCAATTCGAACAAATCTAAACTTATTCTAAAATCTGATGCTATTTCCAACATTTCTTGCTTTGATTAAATTAAATTTAAAAAAATGTAAAAATTATGGCGGCCGACTTTGTTGCATTTTTTTATCTCACCCTGATATATCTCAAACTATTGGCTTTTCTTTGTATATAAACAAGACTATATAAGGACTTCAAAATGTTTGTCCTACGAATCCGAAACTCCCTTGGAGCTTTGATCTACAGAGGAGTACTATAAAGGCCATAACCCAGACAGGATATTGTACTGTAAAATTATAAGAACATTTGCAGCGAATTAGGAAAAAGTGCTTATTTTTTTCCAGAAACAAATCTGAGTTTTTATAAACCAAAGTTGATGCTATTCATCACTCACAATAAAATTAGATCTAGAATAAATCTTCTTTCGTCGATTTTCCCAAAAAAATGAAGTATAAAGGGATATTTTGATTTGGATTGGAAACTTCTTAAACTAACAGTAAGGAGACACATAATTTTCACTTGTAGTACACAATTTTTTTCTTATAAACAATTCCTGTATTACTTATACATATAGTAGAATCTTTTGAAACTATCTGCCTCAAACGATATTTTATGCTACATTCCGAGGTGCCAATAATTAAAATCACTCCCATGATTTTTATTATTGGCGCCCAATCGAACGTATGCATTTATAATCTTATTATTATATATTAAATATATTTATATAGTCGTAAGGGTCCTAATAAAATGCATATTTTAACTCAATAATTCCATGCCTTCCCCATGTAGATCAACTCACTTAACAATGATCCGAATATTCATGGCATTATTGTACAAATGCCACTTGATTGTGACACCAAGATCGATTCTCACAAAATCACCGATGCTGTACATCCGGACAAAGACGTCGATGGTTTGCATACCATGAACGAGGGACGTGTATCAATTGGTGACTTGAGTGGTTTCATGCCTTGCACCCCATGGGGTTGTATTGAGCTGATCAAAAGATCTGGTATCCAGATGGCTGGTGCTAATGCCGTTGTATTGGGTCGCAGTAAAATTGTTGGTACCCCAGCTGCTGAGCTCTTGAAATGGCATAACGCCACAGTGACTGTGTGTCATTCTAAAACTAAAAATATTGAAGCAATTGTAAGTAGTAATGGAAAAAAGAGAGTGTGGGAGGGAGATAAAGAGAAAGAGAGAGAAAATAATAATTAAATGGCAACATATTTTGTTTTAGTGTCGCACAGCTGATATTTTGGTTGTTGGCATTGGTGTAGCCGAAATGGTCAAATGTTCCTGGATCAAACCCGGTGCCGTCGTCATCGATTGCGGTATTAATGTGAAGCCTGGTAAGAAGCAAAAACCCTAAACTATAAAATACTGTTTACATCTCACGACTTCTGAAAAAGAGAGGGAAAACACTGGCATCATTAACACAGCAGCTAATGTTATCAATAACCGATAGTATTGTTGCCTAGTGTGTTGAACCCTCCGATAAGGAAGGTCAAATTTAGTTAATGTTTTTTTTTCGATTTAAAAATATTTTTACGTTAAACAAATTATTTACGTCATTTTACTATTTATTCTAGATCCAACCAAAAAAAGTGGCACACGCTTGGTAGGTGATGTTGATTTTGAAGAAGCTAAACTGGTTGCTTCAGCTATAACTCCCGTTCCTGGTAAGTGATCATGTTTTATTCGATTTTCGTTATTGTTATTACTTATGAGAACAATGTGCATAAATAATAGGGTAGGATTTTGGGATGTTTTTATTTCAAAATAGTCAGTTTATTTCAACAACGTTTGGGTTGTCGGAATTTCAAATTATCTTTTTAAATAATCGAATTGTTAATTCTGTTACTCAGTTCCTGAACCAAGTCTACCAGTTTTTTCGGTTATCGTAGTAACATTTTTGGAAGACATTGGAACAAAGCATTTATTGGTAAACTATGCCCGTACCTTTTTCAGGCATAATTCGAAACTATTTTACTGTAATTCGTAAAGTTTTGTAATTCTAGAATTCTATTTGTTGTCGAAACACTTTAATTGAAATTTTACAATTTCATTTACAATTCGAACCAATTCAATTGTTTTTCGGAATATCTATATGTATAAAAGAATAGTGAAATAACTGACTGACTGATCTAGAATCAACGTCCAGACGAAACGGCTGAAGCTAGAATTTTACCCAAGGGCCAGTTTTGTTGCATAGGCTGGATTTTTGGGAATTCGGTACGAAAACTGCTAAAATGTACTAAAAGTTAATGCTTTGTGTTGGACAGACGAAACGAGCTAGAATTCTGAAAAAGAAAAAAAATGTGGAAAAAAGAGACAATGATGGATTGTAGGATATATGTACCAAAGGGTTCTAACTTTAAGCCTACTTCTCAAATGGTACTTTTGGTATTATGTGAATGGATAGGTCTAAAAACTCATCAAGGTTGGAAAATAGTTATAAACATGAAAGTGGGTTGGAAAATGTGTACTAAGTGAGCGAACTGTACTAAATGGTACCAAATTTGGCACAGTTAGAATTAAGGTGAACAGATGAAGCTAGAACTTTAACATTTTCTATTGGGGTGTCCGTTGCTAGTTGGTTTGTGATAAAGAGCCTGTTTTAGAAATGAGTACTACAACAAGTGCACGAAAAGTACTGAATAGTACTATATTTGGTACAATTTGGGAAGCAAATTGAGTTTAGGGGCTATGCTCGGATCATTTTGAAAATTTTACCGCAGGTGGGTATTTTTAACCTGATTAAGGGAAAGAAATTTTTTCTAGGTGAAAATACCCGGTTTTTTGAACCAAAAGTTCAGATACAACATCCGGTTTTTATCCGGTTCTACAAAACTGAGAAAAACAAAAAATAACTTTACCTTAATCAGGTTAATAAGAACTACACGTTTCAGGCCAATCCGAACATAGCCCCTAAACTCAACTTAAGCATAATTTGGTATTGATTGAAAGGATAGCGCTGGCAATGGAAGTGGTTTCGAAAATGTGTACTATTATTGTATGAAAAGTACTAACCGGTACTATATTTGGTATTAGGTGAAGAGATAAAATTCTGAAATTTTATATTTAGATTACTGATGGTTTCTGTGTTTAAAATTTGGCAGTGGTTTGGAAATGCGTCATATATTTATACAAAAAGTGCTAATTGGTACTAAATTTGGTATTGAGTGAATATATAGAGGTGGAATCCCGAAATGTATTGTATGTATTATAATTGTTCGAAAAGAACTAAATGCTACTAAGTTTTGTATTGGGGGGAGAGATAGAGCTGAAACAGAATGACAAACTTAATATGACCTCCATTTTCTGGCGGAAGGTATAAAAATATTATCTTATGACGGTTAAGAGATTGGAATGACAAAATGTTCTAAAAAACGATTTCACATTCGATTTGACTGAGACATGTCATCTTAGTAATGAGTAATGTGGTGTGAATAGTTTATCAAAATACCGAATATCAGTGGGTACATTATATGGCGGCTATAGGAAAACATGGACCTCGATATTGAATATTCTGCCACTGGAGCGAAAACCCATTATGACCTACATATACCAATTTTAAGACAAATCTGTGAAAAATTTGGCAAAAATAATCAAAATACCGAATGTCGGGAGGTACCGTTAAATGTGGACTATACGAAAATATGGACCTATACATACAATTATCATGCCCCACATATAACAACTTTTAGACAAAACCGCAAGAAAAGGTGACGAAAAACATCAAAATACCGAATATCGGAAAGTACCGTTATGTGGCGGCTATAGCAAAACGTGTTCCGATATATCTCATTTTCAATACCAACCATCCTAGACACAAAACAAATTGTTCTGCCAAATTAAAGCTCTACGTCAAATAATGTGGGCTGTATCGTGATTTCAACAGACAGACAGGGAGGCGGATATTGTTAAATATACTTAAAATTTTATGGTGATCATGAATATACACATTTTATGGTGTCTACGACGAATATTTAGGGATGTTACAAACGGAATGACAAAGTTAATATACCCTCCTTCTCAAGGTAAAAATATAGCAATTTTCTTATTGAGGGGTTTGAATAACTTATCTCCAAAGGCAAATTTCCACTCCCCAAAAATCATTTGGCCTCAGCTTAATCAGTTCGGTTTCCACTTTTGGTGGCGTAAAAGTACGGTTGCATTATAAAACCCTTCTTGAAGAAGTTCCCATGCCCTACAACTTCATAATTATGAGGTGTAATAATTTTTCAGTTCTCTCCCAAATACATTTACGCCATAAGCATCCTCCTTTCTAACATATGTATAAATCCGTATCAAATTCCAGGTGGTGTTGGTCCCATGACTGTGGCCATGCTGATGGAAAACACGGTGCGTTCGGCCACAAAGGCTGCTTTCAATTTGTTGAAGAAATCATGGGAATTGGCTCCACTTACCCTGAGACCAGCCAGGCCAGTACCAAGGTGCATATTTTTCTTAATTCATACTCAATTAAAACTTTTAATTATTTAAATAAAATGATCTATACTTCCAGCGACATTGTAATTGCCCGTTCTCAGACTCCCAAGGATATATCCATGTTGGCCAAGGAAATTGGTCTACTTGGTAATGAAGTATCTTTATATGGCAACAAGAAAGCTAAGATTGCTCTCAGTGTTATGGATCGTTTGAAGTCCAGAGGTGATGGTAACTATGTTGTTGTTGCTGGGTAAGTTTAAAGAATCAAATTAATTAGATCCAAATCAATTAAATTAATGTCTTGTTTTCTTGCAGCATCACTCCCACGCCATTGGGTGAGGGTAAAAGTACCACCCTCATCGGTTTGGTGCAAGCCCTGTGCGCCCACAAACAAAAGAATGCTGTTGCCTGTATGCGTCAACCATCACAGGGTCCCACATTTGGTATCAAAGGTGGTGCTGCCGGTGGTGGCTATGCCCAAGTTATACCTATGGAAGAATTCAATTTGCATTTAACTGGTGACATACATGCCGTCACTGCTGCCAACAATTTGCTTGCCGCCCAATTAGACACCCGTATCTTCCATGAAAATACTCAAAAAGATCAGGCTCTGTATGATCGTTTGGTTCCTCGCATTAAGGGAGATAGGAAATTCTCCAAAATCCAATTGAGACGCCTTCAGAGATTGGGTATCAACAAAACCGATCCCGACTCCTTGACCCCTGAGGAAATGGGTAAATTTGCCCGTTTGGATATTGATCCAGCTACCATTATGTGGGAACGTGTTGTGGATATTAACGATAGATATTTGAGACAGATTACTGTGGGACAATCGCCAACGGAAAAAGGATTTACACGCACTGCTTCTTTCTCCATCTCGGTGGCCAGTGAAATTATGGCTGTCTTGGCTTTGGCCCAAAATATGGAAGATATGAAGACCAGATTATCCAAAATGGTTGTGGCTTTCGATCGTAAAGGTAATCCAGTGACAGCTGATGATTTGGGTGTAACTGGTGCTTTAACGGTCCTGCTCAAGGATGCCTTGGAACCCAATTTAATGCAAACTCTTGAGGGTACTCCAGTTTTGGTACATGCCGGACCATTTGCCAATATCGCACATGGTTGTTCATCGATTGTGGCTGATGAAATTGCCTTGAAATTGGTGGGCAGTGAAGGTTTTGTTTGTACCGAAGCTGGTTTCGGTTCTGACATTGGCATGGAAAAATTCTGCAATATTAAATGTCGTTCATCGGGCCGTAATCCAAATGCTGTGGTCTTAGTTGCCACCGTAAGAGCTTTGAAAATGCATGGCGGTGGTGCCCCAGTTACACCTGGTGCTCCTCTTAATAAACAATACACCGAGGAGAATTTGGAATTGTTAGAAAAAGGCCTGCCCAATTTGTTGCAACACATTTCCAATGGTTGCTCCTTTGGTTTGCCAGTTATTGTGGCCATTAATCGTCATAGGTGAGATGCGATTTTCATTTTGTTTTGAAAAAAGTTTAAATGGTTTGAAATTTATTTCTTTACAGCTCGGATACCGATGCTGAACATGAGTTAATTAAATCCGCCGCCGTCAAGGCTGGTGCCTTTACTGCCGTTGTTTGTTCCCACTGGAGTGATGGCGGTGCTGGAGCCTCTGAATTGGCCGATGCTGTTATCAAAGCTTGTGAAAATTCCAAAAACTTTAAATTACTGTACGACAGCAAAATGTCTTTGCTGGATAAAATGAATACTATTGCCCAGAAAATGTATGGTGCAGCTAAGGTTGAGTTGACAGAAACTGCTCAAAAGGATTTGGAGAAGTTGACAAATGCCGGCTTTGGCCAATTGCCTATTTGTATGTCAAAGACATCCGGTTCTCTTACCGGAGATGCATCAGTAAAGGGAGCTCCTAAAGGCTTTACTTTGACCGTCAATAGTATGTACGTGTCTGCGGGAGCTGGTTTTGTTGTAGCTATGTGTGGAGAAATATCGAAAATGCCTGGCTTACCCACTCGTCCCTGTATCTATGATATTGACTTGAATACCGAAACTGGAGAAATTGAGGGATTGTTCTAAAATGTAAAGGAAGGCGACAATTTTATATATTTTAAATATAAATGCATGTAATTTTATAATGTAACTGACAATTTTGTATAACTGTATATATATAAATTTTGTATATGATTTTTTATGGTGTAATAAAGTTAATAACGTTTAGATGTATTCGTTTCTTTGTTGGACATTTTATCCACCGTAAAAAAATCGTTGTTAAGAATTTTATGTTCAAAATTTGGTGTAATCTTCGGTTCAATATTTTTCATATTATTCATTTCGAATAGAGGATCATCGTGAAGGCCCTCAAATTCATCGTCATCATCATCCGAGTCGGAATCAGAGCTGAAAATAAACATGAATATAAGCCAACTTGTTAATATAGGAAATATATGTTTGAAATGCATTTATATTATTTATAATACCTTAATTCATTATCGTAGACACCCCTCGGAACAATAGTTTCATTTGTTTGCTTTTGAAAAATGGGATTAGATCCCTGCACCGAAAATATATTAGCCGTTGGTCCAGCAATTCGATTTAGATTCGATGCAATTGAACCGAATTCTACGGGCTCAAATGCCTTTAGTTGTCTCTTCAAGCTACGAATTTTAACAATGTAAAGTATAACCATTGTTAGGGAAATTAGACCAAGTGTGGTAGATAGACCAACTAGTCCCGTGATTAACCAATTACTAACAAGCGGTGAATCTTTTTCAGCTTCCAGGTGAGGTATATCGTTCAGTATTAGATTGTAAGTTTGTAGGGTATTTTGTAGTCGTGATATGAATGCCAAATCGTTGGATTTCTTTTTTATTTCATAAGCATCGACAGCTTCATTGTTATGTATAAAGTGGGCTTTTACTTCAGTTATAAATCCCCCGGTGGCATTGCTTGATTGTCGTGCATTTTGTGATCGGGCATTGGTAACATCCTCAATGGAATCGATATTACAAATATCATAGCCATATAAATTTTGTAATTCATCTCGGAGCTAGAAAAAGAAATAAAAATTCTTATCATTAGGTCTCATATAAATATACATCTATAACCCTTTAGACAACCATATCGGATTTTTTTCCAGACCAGACCAAGGACTAAACACTAACAGCCTCGTGAACTCGCTTTTCCATTAAAATAAGCCAAATCCACTTTTCTACTTACAAATTTCTCCTGTCTCCGTATCACTTGAATGTCTGTGAGGAAGACAAATTTAACACGATTACTCTCGGAGACAATGAACATTTTCACTGCTGTAATATCGCGATGATCCATTAAATCTGTGGCAATTACATTAAACATCATATAACCTTCCATGTTAGTTGGTACATAAGATATAAGGCTAATCTCTCCGGTTTCCGGGTCTAAGGTTAACAAATCTGTTAAATTTTTAACAACATTCGTCAAATGGTTTTCGTATGAGGCGGGATCAATTTCATAAGTTATTCTATCTTCTAAATCGGGATCATCTGCCTAAAATTGAGTTAAGATTGATTATACAACAAAGTTTTCGAATGAAAATTTTCAATTTACCTTTAAATGCAAAATTGTCTTTCCCATTGAATCTTTGGATGTTAAACCGCCTGCATAGAGTCTCTGTGGAAACTTTGGAGCATTGTCATTGACATCGATGACATGGACAGTAACCTCCAGTGTATAATTAATACTATTCGGATTGCTTATCAAACCATTCTCATTGTTTGTCACTTTTATGAGTATTTTAAGTTCATCTGTCACCTCTCGATCTAAGGACGTTTTTAATTTCAGTTGCCTTGTTAGAGGATTCAAATCAAACAATTGAGCACTTTCGTTGTAAAAAGTTTCTATAAAAAGGAAATTGTTAGATTGGATTTAAAATACAAGTGTGAAGTTTACCATCAACAAAATAATATAACCGATACAATTCCTCAGAATCATCCAAGCCCTCATTTTTTGGATCATGAGCTTCGGGTATGTAACGTTCTTCCAGCAAACCGGTGGAATTTTCTACAATTTAAAAATGTTAATGATATTTATTGTTATTATGCCAGAATTCCCACTTACCGGTGAAACTTGTATCAAAAGTAGTTTGAAGAAACATGGGATTGCCTAACATGTCAACGAACACAATTTTTAGATTTTTCAGTATAGCTGATGTACTACCACCACCATCAATTGCCCTTAAGTTTACCTGAAAACAAGTAAGCAAAGGCTATAGTAGAGCGGGACCGACAACACTACAATATGTTAGAAGCTCCCTTATGTCCAAAGCCATTTTGGAAGATTTCGCTTTCTAAATGATGCCATAGAGCACTGCCCAGATATTACCCTTAGCTTCGTGACCAGGGACATTTGCCCAATATTTACGCACTTCGTCGTGCTGTTAGTTGTTGTGTTCCATCCAAAATGTTAGACTTCTTCCCCGTTCCGTCCAGCCTTAAGGTGGGAATACATAAAGCGCTTATTTGGCTGACTTAACCACCCTTATGGTTGCGATGACTATCTCATACATAATCAGATCTCTATCGGGCGTAAATAAAGAATAGTCTCCAAAGCCTTAGTTAGTATAGTCCCCATTGTTCTGCTGATGTCTAAGCAACATATTCTTTGGACTTTCTGCAAAATATGGGTTTTGCATGTTTTATCCCTTCTCCGTAACTAGACTACTGAACCATGTTAGAATAGGTCTAAATACGGTTCTGTAAAACCCGTGAATAAATTTTGGATTTACTCTGCATCTTGAACCTATTGTCATTTTACCGATTGACCAGCATATGGGAGCTTCGTTTGCTCTTTTCAGATAAGTTTTTTTATTTAGGATAACTCCTATGTATTTGACTTAACTGGAGATATCAATTGTCTTATTCAAGAAGACTGGTGCATCTAGGTACCCATTTTACATTTAGTCCCCATGGTCTGGCCCATTTGTAAGCTATCTTCAGGACTGATTTGGCCCTTCTGCACAGAAAATTTGCATTATATCCTCTCAGAAGTCCTATAGCATCGTCTGCGTAATAGACAGGTTGAAATATCTTATTTGTTCCTAATAATTACTTCGTGTAACCTGCAGCTTATATATCTATACCTCAGCAAGTGGCTTATTCAGTTCCGCAGGAATATGTTCACCTCATGTAGAGCGGTTTCCACAGATCTACATTTAACATGTTCTTAATCATGGTATCAACTGTCCGTTTACTTACCAAGTATATTCCAGCTGCCATTACATTTTTCACATAGAGACTGTAAGAATTACGGGATTCCTTTGATAGATGAAAGTATTGATCATGGCCAACTGTAAACCACAGAAATAATTTTTTTTTAACCATTTGGCTTGTTTTTTCCAAATTGAGCAATTTTAAATAATTAGCATTATAACTCTTCAACGATAAATTGCAAAATGTTTGCAAATATTCTATTTTCCGTATTTGCAAACATTCTGCAAATTATCGTTGCAAAGTTGTTTTGAAATTTTTAATTGAACAATGTGATAGGCATATAGATTGTGATAGACAATTATCAACAAACGCTATTAATTAATAATGAATGACCTATACCCCATAACTCACCATCACTGCTGATTTCAAAATGCACATCACCATATTCTCCACCATCGGGATCATAGACTTGAAATTGCTTCAAACGTGTGCTGCAATCTGCTTCGTAAAGTGGACGTAATGGTTCTTGAAGGGAATAACTATCAGAGAAAATAATATTTTGTGGTATATCGATTTTAAGACGTAAGATAAATTATCATCAAATCTTACTTACCACACTCTTATCGATTTTTGTTGAATGGGATATTGTATAACCGGAATATGAAAATTATATGGTTTTACATTGACTTTATACGTTGCCACGTTTTTCAATTTCGGTAAACCATTGTCCGATGCTTCGATTTCCAGACTCCAAATTCCATAAAAACCTTTGAGAGCCTTTCCACATCTTAATTTTCCAATACGATTGTTTACAGTGGACATGGTAAAAAGTTCTTCAAAAGATGATAAATTCGGATTGTTTTCCATAACTTGAAGAAGAACATAAATCGGCATCAAGAACATAATATATAGAAGTAAAATAAAAGGGTAGATTACCTGTTTTGATTGATAGTATTCGGTAGAACAATTCAGAATTTCTTGTATTTTCCTCATCTCTATCCAAAGCAATGAAATCTACTTTAGATAATGTATTCTGAAACATAATTTAAATATAAAGTCAGATCAAACGAAAATCTGTTCTGTCTTACCTCATCATCAGCTTCAGAGAATTCGAAAATTATTTGCTTTGGATCTGGCATTACTGGGGCATTATCATTGATATCCAACAGAGTAACATTGAGAAATGTGGATCGTTGATTAACAGCTACAAAATAATAAAAATTATAAAATCGGATCTAAACACATGTATCACCCATTTAATAAGTTTTCTTAAAATTAAGACTCAAGACAATTAATAACGTACGCCGATAACAGTTCGGTTAGGCCAGAAATTCGCGATATAAAAACCATAGAAATAAACATAGCATTAAAAGATTTTTCCTTAAACCGTAATTTTCCAAAGTACATAGCTATAATTTTTAACCATAGACAAAAGATGTTAACATTACAATCGATATTCACATACGTGGTCAGATCATTCCAAAAAAAAAAAAATATATATCTTTTCATTTCTTTTTTTCATAAAACAAGAATCCAGCCCCAGAACAAACTAACCCTACAAGTTGTTACAAAACCTCATCCAAATTGCCTAGACTCATTAGACTATGCTTACGATAAAAAACTTATATTCCTCCTATACCATCCGATCCCTCCCACAAACCACAAGTGGCAATTGTTAGAGCACTCCAGCATTTAAATGTGAATAAATCTTTTGTGTCTCGTACCATCGCTCGTTACCGTGTACTGGTAGCGTAGCTCGACGTCAAGGAACTGAACGGAAGAAAACAGCAACATCAGCAGAAATGGTTCGAAAAGTAAAGAAGCGACTTAATCGAAACCCACGTCGCAGTGGCCGAAAAATGGATCGTGAGCTGAATATTCCATTCAGCAAATATTGAAAAATGAGCTCGGGGTAAAGCCATTGAACTTCCAAAACGTGCAAGAACTTACACCGCAACAGAAAGAAAATAGACTCAAAAGAGCTAAAGAGATGCTTCGCTTGGTTGAAAGTGGAGAACTGCAGAATTTGGTTTTCTCCGATGAACATTCGTTGTCCAGCAGTTTGTAAACAAACAAATTGATCGTGTTTAGAGGTCAGCTGAAAATGTGCACCTTTGGTTGGCCACCAGAACTCAAGCGTCGGCCATGGTGCCGCCATAACAATCAATGGTCGCTCTCCACTCGTATTAATCGACCGTGGCATCAGAATAAATGCCGAATATTATCGCGAAAATATTCTGGAGGGTGTATTAAAGCCTTGGGCACGCAAACATTTTGGCTGCAGAGCTTGGACATTCCAATAGGACCATCGCACTCAGCACGCGCCACACAAGAATGGTTACAAAATTAGGTTCCTCGCTTTATTTCCAGCGTACAATGACCACCAAAATTTCCGGATACCAATCCTTTGGACTATAGTGTCTGGAGTATATTGGAAAGCAAGGTTTGCACTAAAAAATACCAAAGTGTCGATCACCTCAACCAAGCGCTTCGCCGGGAATGGGCCAAAATACCGCCGAGCATCATTCGGGCAGCGTGTGACGGCTTCATTGGCCGTTTAAAGACCATAATTCGTGCATAAGGTGACCAATTCGAACAAATCTAAACTTATTCTAAAATTTTATGCTATTTCCGACCTTCTTTGCTTTCATTCAATAAAGTTTATAAAAAAATGTAAAAATTATGGCGTTTGACTTTGTTGCAGTTTTTTATCTCGCCCTATAAAATGCAAATTAAAATAGTCCCACACAAGAATAGTAGAAGAATATTCATCATCGTACACAAGCAGCATTGTGATTGGTGGAAACAGAGATTTGGTATCTTTAATATAAAGTAGTAACCTATCCGCTCGTTAGTTTCATGTTTTCAATTTGGGATCCCCTACTTACGTCCATTGACAGCATTTAAGAAATTAAAATTATCCTTAATATCAATGGGCACATAATGATATGTAGTTCCAATGTCACGATCCAAAATGTAGCCATTGCGCAAATTGACATATACTTCTCCGGTCGTAATATTTATTTGAAAAAGATTATGCAAATTTGTAAAGGCACTGTTAATGGCATATTCCAAAGTATTGTGTGGAACTGAAATTATATGAATTGAGTATCAAATATTTACATATATACTTTTTTCAATCTGACTCAAAACTCACTGTCTCGATCATTGTCGTAAGCCTTTATTTGTCCCACATATTGGCCGGTAGTTGCATTTTCCCAAATCGACACTTGTTGTTCGAAAATATCTATTTGGGGTACCTGATTATTGATATCTATTATGGAAATATTAAACTGAAGTTGAAACAAAGTTAGAAAAAAATAAACATCTTTTTGATTTTCAAATTTACCCTTCCCGTTGTTGTATGCACCGTATCCGAGATTATTACTTCATATTCCAAGTGATATATTTTCGGAACATCACATTGTATTATTCCGGCAATTCGTAGTAAACCCGTTGTCTCATTTATGCTGATAAGCCCTAGCAAGGTGAGATTTCCTATGGGCCTACAAAAATCATTCTTATAATCGTTAATATTAATATATTACTTGTTTTGTACCTCAAAGCAAATGTTATTTCATTATTTCCTGGACCATCGATATCAAAGGCTTCAATGGTTCCTAAAATATACAAATTTGTGTAATTATTGATAAGATATTCGTTTTGAATTATAGTTAGTATTCAGAGAATGTAGTTAGATAATAAACTTACCAACTGTGTTCATAATATCCCCCATTTCTGTTACATAGCGTCGTTCATCCAAGGTTCCTATTGCAAACTGAGGTGGATTGTCGTTAAGATCATCCACTCGTATTGTCAAAACAGCTGTAAAACGTATACTTTATAGGAATTATAGCTTAAGGAATCATACATTCGTACATGATCCTTATGAGTAATAAGTTCTCGGATCACAAACTACCGACAAGTTTGTATATTTATAAAAATATGCTCTATATGAAATAGCCAAAATATTTTCTCTGTTCCAGAACATGCAAGAAACTATGAGATTCTGCAGTTTTTTTGATATCTTTTGAAAAATAATTAATAATAGCAAATTTTTGTAGTTCTGGAACAAAGCAAGAATATAATAATAAGCCATGGTTATAAGTAAGGCACAGCCATAATGCCTTGCTGGAAGCTCTAGTTAAACTCTCCAGATGGGCACGCTGCAATGTACTTGGCGTAAACACATCAAAAACAGAGCTCGTATTTTCACAAGGAAGCGGAAAATCCTAGACTTGTCGCTACCAATATTTGATGGTGTTATCCTAAGCCTTTCTTCGGAAGCCAAATACCTCGGTACCATCCAAGACCAGAAACTAAGCTGGAAGAGGAACATCAATCCGCACTAGACACCCTACTGAATTTAAGACCGTTAGGTGTATTTGTAGAGAAACAAGCTGCTATGTGTGCCCTGCTGCTCAATGAACTGAGACAATGACGGAGTCAGCCCTTTGGACACTCCGTCATTCTCAAGTATGTGGGAAGCATAGTAAATCAGGCTATTGCTAGGGATTATATGCCACCTAGGCACAGTTTTGAACCACTTGTTATTCATATACCTAACAGAGACATCTGGATCCGCGACACTTCACCTTTTAACGGTATAGCTGTCTATATTGATGGATAGTGGAACTGGAGCTGGGGTCTATTGTGAAAGTCTAAGTATCCAACAATTCTTCAAACTGAACAACGCCTGTGGCGTTTTTCAGGCAGAAATCTTTGCTGTCAGGAAGGTCATAGAGCTGCTGGCAAATAGAATCAATGAACTGGATGGACCGGACAGGACTTTATATGTCGATAGTCAAGCGCCCTGAAGGCTCTAAATTCATTGACAATCAAATCTATGGTAGTTCTGGAATCAGGAATGCCCAGAAAAAGGTTAAATCGTTTGTCAAACTCTGTTGGGTAATGACTCGGCTGATGAATTGGCCAGACGCGGATCTGAGTCAGTAGATCTAGAGATTGAGAGCTCAGTGAAGCCACCCTTATCTCACTTCTTCCAAGTACTGCATAAGCATTATCTTGGGAGATTTCAACAGAACTGGCTAACTGGAAGGGAATGTAATGTCTTCAAGACGATTTGGCCGTTGAACTCCGAAAGGAGATTAAGGTCACTTATATCCATGACGAAGCTTGAAGCTTGTGGTGGGCCTAAGTACAGTACACTGCAACATAAAGGCCATGACATCCAACGACACTGAATACTGCAGGCTTTGTCAGGACGAGGAAGAAACTGAGACGGCGGAGCATTTACTCTGCCACTACCAAACTCTTATAGGAGTGAAACAGAGGGTACTGGGGAAACCAATTCTGCCAGACTTGTCCTCCCTCTCCGACATCGAGCCAGCAGTCATTCTTCAGTTAGCCAGAAGACTAAAATGGCTAAAGACGACACGTTGATACACCGTGGATGCACATGTTTATGTATGTTTATTTGACATGAGGTTACCTTCCTAATGATGCCAAGCAACAAATCGCTGTTCTTACCTGTTGAAGAATTCTCACCAAACTCCTGATGCATATCTCTAACACGAATGGTTACAAATATTGTGTCATATTTTTCATAGTCTACTTCCTGTGGAAATTCGGGATTGATTTTCAAGTGACCATATACCAAATTCGGAGTCACCTCTACTCCTTCGATAATAAAACATTCACTAAAAAGTGAACTCGCAACCTCTTGGCCACCTTTTGTGGCATACGACATAGACCAAAGAATATCAAATTGTAAATTTGCCGTAGTATCTGGATCTCTTGCTTCGATTTTATCCGTAATTAATTTAAGAGGTCGAGAATTTTCCGTAACATTTATTATAAGTCGTGGCTGAAAAGAGATAACTTTAATGCTATTTTGCATAATTATTTTTCTACACCCACCATTCTTAATTCGGGAGTTTCATCATTAACATCTAAAATTTTAATTTGCAGCTGAGTATAGGAAGTATGAAGACTTTTCTCAAAGGCTGTTATCAAAGTATCTTTGGCTTGAATCTGTAAAATCATCAATGATTGACGTTCATAGTCAAAGACGTTACTCTTATTTATTGTTATCCAACCAGTATGAGGATCGATGACAATGCCTTCAATGTTGCCAACCAATGAATGTCTGCAAAAGAAAGTTTGCTAGAAAAAGATAACACAAAAAACCAATAGCAATACCCACACAACTTCATCGTTTACATCCCGATCTGTTGCCTGAATTTGCATTATATTTGTACCATTAGCAACATTTTCATATAACTCAATTTCAAATGCATCCGACTGAAATATTGGCCATTCATCGTTCCAATTTAGTAATTCAATGCGAAGAGATATTTCGTCCGTGTGATCTGGATTTTCCACCTCTTTTGCTAATATCTGAGGAAATATTTAGTGAAGACTTGAAAATCTTTTAAAAACGTGTCTACTTACCTTTAGTTGAAATGATCTCCAGTCTACGTTTTCATAATCCAATTTATCTGCCTGTGTTACGGATAGAGAAAAATCAGTTTTTGGTAGCCACTATTCGGTATCATTGCAAAGGCGTTGGAGTGTTGAATTGTCCCGTTATCGTTCAAGAAGTAGATATTATAGGAAGCATTGGTACCCTATAAATAAAGAGTTTAACATATACATATTAGATGGATGTAAGTCGGTTTCATATGTCTTTCTTAAAAAGGAAAACTTAAAAAAAATTAATAAGGCATACATTACAAAAATAGAACATCCTTTAAAAAATGACCAAAAACTGACTAAGACAGTGTTACCCTGAAAAAAAAGTATGAGTCATGGAGGAAGTGAATAAAAACAGTTACAATAATCCATGCCAGTTGGTGCTTTTCCACCATCCGGCAACAATTTTCCTGGTTAAGATTAACGTTAAAACCAGAGCTCCGATTATCGATCTCGAAGAGTACGAGTTCTACAAGAAGTTTATTCTCCACTCTTTTTATACCCTCCACCATTCTATGGAGTTTCCTCCTCGTTCCGACAGAGCCTGCACTATTCGGTGTCGTCGCCCCCACTTTGAAGTCATGGCCCTTATGTTGCAGTGACCTGTAATTAGGTCCACCATATGCTTTAGGTCAGATTTCGTCAAGGAGATGAGTGACGTTGATCACTGACCATATTTTTTTGGAGATATTACAGGGGATGTAATCAGTTCTGATTAAATCTCCCAAGGTAGTGTTTATGTAATACTTGGAAGAAGTGACACAATGGTGGCTTCACCGAGCTATCGATCTTTAGATCTACTGACACAGATCCGCATCTGGCCAATTCATCTGCTGATTCATTGCCGAATATGTTACAATGACCCGGGAACCCAACAAAGTTTGACAGACGTTTTAAACTTTTCCAAAGAATATCTGCATTCTAGAACAGCCATAGATTTGAGTGTAACAGAATTAAGATCCTTCAAGGCCGCCTGACTATCGACATATATCGTCACCGGTCCGGTCCGTTCAGTTCATTGATTCTGTTTTCCAAGAGCTTCATGGCTTTTGCTATAAGCAAAGACTTCTGCCTGAAAAACGTCGCAGTCGTTGTTTAATTAAGAGGATCTCCGGATATTCAAGCTTTCACAGAAGACTCCAGCTCAGCGTGCCACTTTCCATCTTTGAACCATCAGTATAGACAGCTACACCGTTAAAAGATGGTGTGTTCCAGATCCAGATGTCCCTGTTTGGTATATGGATGTCCAGTGATTCGAAACTTTGCCTGGGTGATATATAATCACTGTTTATAGCCCTACATAAGTTAGTATCGGCCGAACAACTAATTCATATAACCATTTGATTACATGTGGCTTAAGTCCCCAACTCTTCCCTATAGTGTTTCTGCAAGAATAGAGTCGCTTGCTCCTCGATGTTCCTTTTCCAATTGAAGAATGTTACTACGATAACCGTTTTTCTTTTATGATATCGGCTCAAATTGTAGAACTAGAAGATTGTGGCAGTTTCTGGAATAGAACATATATGTACACAAAAGAGCATCCTTTGTCTGGCCATCCATTATTTTAGGTATAAACTAACACGGCCTTCGCCACGCCCAATACGCTTTCGGATAAAATTTTAAACCATTTGCACAAATACTGGGAGCGACCTGAGGGAAGGACTTTCGGTAGGATTTTTTAATCGAGCTACTTCTAATTTTAGTCCCATCTGACCAAACGACTGGTAATGCTAACTAGAACTGGAGATCGCGGGCGTCTTAAGCTCTTCATTCTCTCTTATTAACCCCTTTATTTACGTTGGACTTAAGAAGGCTATTTTTAAGTGAGATTCGAGATGGAAGACGTCTCAAGGTCTATAAAAGTCGAGAGATAAATGGAAATTGCAGTCTTACTCACCAAATCCATATCCTCTATAAAAAATTTTTCCAAAGGCAATGTTAGGTATTTCCCCTCCAATATTTGTACAGTCTGCGGTTGCAGTGTTATTTCTGGTCTATGATCGTTTATATCCTGGACAATTAATATTGTGGAATTGCAAATGACCCATGTTGCATTGTCGCATTTATAGGCACACGTCTAAAACAATTTCATTGAACATACCAAATTTTAATTAAAATATGAAATACACATAACTTATTACTCACATAAAAACTAAATATCTGTTGATTCAAAACATCACGATCAATTGGTCTAACATGTAAAATTCCGGACGTAACATTAATGGAAACAATGTTAGAATCTGCAAATACAAGATAAAGGAAATAATTCTTAACGATTTTTGGAAAACTTTTGAACTCACAGTCTTCTTCAAATTCCAAACGATAACAAATGGGTTTGTTAATTCCAGTATCACCATCGATGGCCTTCAAGGTAAAAATCTATAAAGTGAAACTTTTTGTATAATCAAGATTAAAATTGTAATTCCACACCAAATTACCTGCTCCGACTTTTCATCAAATGTTGCAGTTGTTAAAGGTTTCACCCAAATTGGATCTCTATTTGGCAGATCAATAACTTCAAGTATTGCAAATATATCTCCGGTGTTGTTATTGGCATCATAAACTTTTACATCCAAATTGTATAAGGCCTTCTCTTCATAGTGTAAATCTTGTAAAATTCTGAAATATTATTTAAAGTCCAAATTGATATTCATTCAAGCTTAGTCTCCTCATGTTGATACCCACTTTAATTTGTAGTGTTTTTCATAGGTTGTAGTTTCACCAAACTCTATGAATGTGAACAAAGGTTGCAGACTTAAGTCAGTTGCCACCTCAATGTGAATATTGTTACGATCCATACCGTCAGGGTCATACACAGAGAAAATGCATTCCGTAAGATAATTAGAATGGAGTTCCTAAGAAAATAAATAATTTGTAAAACAAATCTTCTCTCACATATTTATTTTGAATGTGATTTTTACCTCAACTCGACATGGTGATGGTCCATATGTTACGGTGGGGTTATTGTCGAATATGTTTTCCAGCGTTACAAAAATGCTCTGCTCCACGGGATTCACAATATTTGGGTCTTTAAGATAAACTTGAAAAAAATATATCCGCTGTAGAGGATTTTCGTAATCTTGGCGCTTTTCGATCGTTATATACCTATTGGAGATTATGAAACAAATTAAATTTAGTCACTGCAAGCTTACAAAAAGTTTTCTTTAATGTGAATTTTTGGGGTGTAATATAAATGATAAAGAGCAAACGACATATTCATAGGTATGACGTCTATGGTTAAGTAAGGTTAGGTTAAAGGTTGCGCGGTTGTATAAACAACCACTCCACTCTGAGACCTTTTGGTCCATTGTGTTCATCCTAATTTAAGAAGATGGGAGAATGGAATACAAAGAAGAGAAAAGAAATGAATAGCGGATAGTGAAGTAGTGAGATTCTGAATAAAGAGTAGAGAAGTCAGTAGGTTTGCATCCACGGTGTATCAGCGTGTCGTCGTTAGCCATTTTAGTCTTCTGGCTAACTGAAGAATTACTGCTGGCTCGATGTCGGAAAGGGAGGACAAGTCTGGCAGAATTTGCTTACCCAGTAGCCTCTGTCTCACTCCTATAAGAGTTTGGCAGTGGCAGAGTAAGTGCTCCATCGTCTCAGTTTCTTCCTCGTCCTGACAAAGCCTGTAGTATTCAGTGTCGTCACACCCCATTTGGATGTCATGGTCTTTATGTTGCAGTGTCCTCTACTTAGGCCCACCACAAGCTTCAAGTCCAGCTTCGTCATGGATATGAGTGACCTTGATCTCCTTTCGGAGTTCACCGGCCAAATCTTTTTGGAGACATTACATCCCCTGCCAGTTAGCCAGTTCTGTTGAAATTTCCCAAGATAATAATTATACAGTACTTGGAAGAAGTCACATAAGGGTGGCTTCACTGAGCTCTTAATCTCTAGATCTACTGACTCAGATCGCGTCTAGCCAATTTATCGGCCGATTCATTGCAAGATATATTACCGTGACCAGGGACCCAAGAGGGTTTGACAAACAATTTAACCTTTTCCAGATCATTCCTGCATTCCGGAACTGCCATAGATTTGATTGGAAATGAATTTAGAGCCTTCAGGGCTGCTTGAGTATCGACATATATAGACCGGTCCGTCCAGTTCATTGATTCTATTTGCCAGCAGCTCTATGACCTTCCTGATTTTTGCCTGAAAAACGCTACAGTCGTTGTTCAGTTTGAAGAATCGTTGGATACTTAGAGTTTCACAGTAGACCCCAGCTCCCGTTCCACTTTTCTTCTTTGACCCATCAGTATGGACAGTTATACCGTTAAAAGTTGGAGTGTCGCGGGTCCAGATGTCTCTTTTAGGTATATGGATATCAAGTAATTCAAAGCTGTACCTAGTGATATATAATCGCTAGCTATAGCCTGATTTCCTATGCTTTCCACATACTTAAGAATGATGGAGTGTCCAAAGGGCTGACTCCGCCAATGTTCCTCTACTAATACTTACGACTTCTTTGATTTCGTCGCTAACTTGCCGACAAATTTCGTCAATTACTGTAATTACAAACATTTTAATTATACCGACCTTTGTCAGTAACTCAAAAATTGATTTAGAGAACTTCACTACAGATCATGGTGTAGTACATATGTAACATTCTTAAACCTCACATGAATTCTCGGAGTCAACTAAAATTAATATTAACTGATCTTACCATTCATTATCTGTAAAATTTATATGGGCTCCCAATAGACTGTTGTCACCAATGTCAAAAGCGCCCAGCATTGGTGTTCCATCGGTACCTTGAATGTTACTTAAAATTAAAACATCAACACAATAAAACACGCCGTAATCTTTATCTTACCATTGTAGTTTATTTTAGCCAATTTATATGGAACAGGCAGTTCTTCCTTAACATTAATTTTTTGTACACTTGCTGTAGAGTTATGGGCAGTTATCCAAGAAATGCCATCGGTATTTGCATTTAGAAAATACGGTTCCATCCATTCATTTTGTGTTGAGACTGCTGACACAAAGGGTTAAAAAAGTGTATCATTATTTATTTTTCAAATTTCAAAGCAATAAAGTGAACCGAAATTTTGATACCCTCCAACATCAGAAATAGAACCCAGTATTGTCGGGATGGAACATTAGTGTTTTCGAAAATGTTAAGAGATATCGAAAATGTTAAACAGCAAAACTAGCACACAGCAAATCTCTCACTTCCATGCACACTAAGAATTGAATAAGTGTTCTTCCCATTGGATTTCATTTTTTTAATTTGTTCCCTCAGGAAAGATCCGGGATAGTTACACAGAATTAAGGGTGTAAAATAATGAGAGTTTTTAAGCTCAAAACTTAATTTTTCATTCGATAAACCGTTTTTGTTCATTTGGTTATTAGGGTTAAGGCTTTTATAAAATCCCACTTTCACATACCATTATTTAAAACTGCAATTAACAATATGTTTATAACATAAATAAAGTTTTGAAATGTAATCATTTTTTCCAATTACATAAGTAAAATTGATTTTACATAAGAGTTTAGATTTTTAAAATATTTTTTTTTTATTAATATTCCACTTTTTATTGATGTTTAAACTTTGTAAATTTGTATGAAATGTAACTTAGATGACAAATATTTTCATACTGAAGCCTCAAAACAAACTGTTTTATTTATCTTAAGGTTGTCTTGTATCAGAACATGGCCTGATAACATACCGATTGATAACATCATTTGGGATGGTATCCACTCCAATCAAATACACATATTTGAACTAATATTTTTTTAAACTTTTATTCGTAATATACAAATAAAAATTATGCAAAAATATAATAACATTATTTATAAAAAGGTATTTCAACACGACCCGCCTTTGAATTTACAGCTTCCCAACAGGTACAATGAAACGTCATTCCATCCATTTGATCAATATATAGCTTTCCATCTAAATGGTCCATTTCATGTTGAGCTATCCTAGCATTCCAACCGCTTAATTGTAATTCATTGGGTGTATCTCGTTTGCCAATTCCCGTGAGCGTCACTGAGTCGTAACGTTCTACCTCCGCCGAAAATCCACGCACACTCATACAACCCTCAGGATGTTTATGTTTGGTGTAATTTGTTATTTTCAGTGTGGGATTTATCATGACCTTAAAAGCGAATTGAGACAATTGCATTAGCATGTTCTTCAATTTATGATACTTTGCAAAAGGTAAAATAAAATTTCCAATAATCAATAAATAAAAAAAAAATAAATGCAGTATAGTCATTATACCCTACACCACAAGGTGGTCAGGGTATTATGTTGCATTTGTTTGTAACAAGCAAAAGGAAATGAGGTAGAGCCATAGTTCCTTTTGATGATCTGCATAGGATCACATTCTGAGTTGATTTATATATCCATGTCCATGTATTTTTGTAAACAAGTTACAGGTCACATTTATTGCGCAACCCAGATGAAATTTTGCACAAATCAATTGTTTGACCCTAGGACGAACCCTATTGGAATTGGAGATAATCGGTCAAAACTTAGATATAGCTCCCCTAAATATCTTCGTCCGATTTGCTTTTTATTGTGCACCAAACGTGTAATATCAGTCCAAATAATATGGAATTTTGTATATATGAGCAAAATAGGTCTGAAAATAAGTATGGTAAATTGGATCGAAATCGGTTCAGATATAGCTATAGCTCCCAATAAATATATTGTTCATCCGCTTTGTTATTTTTGTCCTCCGCAGTCGTAATACGCACTCTGTAACAACGATCTTTTGAAACAAACACAGTTCAGAAATACCTTTGATAAATGTTATCGAGATTCAGATTCGAGGTTCAGATTCCGATATTGCTCCCATATATATCTTTATCCGATTTCAAGTTAATTGGTCCAAATGGGATACAATTTGGCACTTACTTTTTGAGTCTAGGAATAGCTATAGCTCCCACATAAATTGTTCATCCAATTTGTTGTATTTGTTCTCCACAGCCGTAATATGCACTCCGTAACAACGATATTCGGGGAAGTACATGAAATATAGCTTAGAAATACCTTCGCCAAATTTAATCGAGATCGCTTCTGATTTGGCTATAGCTCCTATATATATCTTTATCCGATTTCAAGTTAATTGTTCATCAAATGGGTAATACAAGCCCTAATCAATCCCACGGCAGCGGGTTCTACGACACCGGATTGACCCGAAACAACAACACTCCAGTTTCGGCCAGCTGCCAACACAGTGTATACATGTTCGTGTTTGTTTATTTTTCTGTTTTGGGAGCAGCACATCCCGGAATGCTTGCTCCGGATTCTTTTGGTCCGTGCCGGGCTTGAGGAAAACCCCGGACCATGGTTCTGTACGGTTTGCCAGAACACCATCCACCATAGATCAGTCTCGGTGCGATGTAATGGATGCAGAGGATGGGTGCATTTTAGAAATTGTTCCGGTTTAACCCGGTTGCGAGACTGTAGCGATAGGGACTATGTTGCTTCGTGCTGCACCAACGTAGTCCCCAGTGAGTCCACGACCTCGTCGTCAACTTCCGAGTCGTCGTCGGAGTATGGAACTCCCCCGCAGTCTCCAGAACAGCAACCTTTACCGCAGCACTTAACGCCACATGTTGCTGTTCCAATTCCGGACAATGCCTCGTTCTTGCAGTTCAATTGCAACGGACTCCGAGGTAAAATTGATGAGATAGTGGATTTTATGAATCGGAGGAATATTAAGATCGCAGCGGTGCAGGAAACCAAACTCAATGAAAATTGTAGCTTACAACGTTGCAATGGTTACAACGTATTGAGGAAAGATCGCACCAGAAGTGGAGGTGGGGGATTAGCGTTCCTGATACACCATTCTGTTCAATACAGACCTATCTCGCTTGAGCTAGTCTCTAGTGACCCATACATGGAGTGTATGGGGGTAGCAGTCAAGTGTGGTACTGCCGAGGTAGAGGTGCTTAATGTGTATATCCCGCCGGTTAATAGCTGTGAACCGCGTTACTTGCCTAATATAAGCCCACTTTTGGAAGACAATAACCGCCTGGTACTAGGGGACTTCAATGCCCACCATGAGTTGTGGCATTCCGTCCTAGGTAATGACCAGAGGGGATCAGCGTTGGCAGAGGAGATTGACTGCTCCACATTTTGCACGGTAAACGAGGATGCCCCCACCCGAATAAGAGGAGAGTGTCACAGTTCGCCAGATTTAACCATCGTGTCACCCGGTCTGATAAATGACGTGACTTGGCAACCCGTCATTTCTCTTGGCTCAGACCATCTCCCGATAATCGTCTCCATCAGCAGATCGCCCGATTTCATAACCTCTGAACGCCGCACTTTCCTTAACCATGGGAAAGCCCACTGACCCGAGTTCAGAGAGTTCACCAACCTTCGCTTCAGAGAACTGCTCATTCCTTCTTATGTTCGGGTAGCTGAAAGGATTTTCCGGGACATCATCAAAGCTGCACATTTAACGACGTAACTGTGACTGATCCGAAGAGGTGCGCTGGCTGTTTTAACCGCCAATTTGTCGAGCACCCCGAGAGTGATAGGGCGAGGCGAAGAGTACTACGTCGTATAAGAGCTCTTCCCGCCGAGGATGTACCTCCACAGTTTACGATGGGTGATGTTGCGAATGTCATACGAAACGCTAAGTCATCTAAAGCGTTGGGCCCGGACGGAATAGCAATGGTAATGTTGAAGCAACTGGATACGCCGGGAGTTGAGTATTTAACCAAAGTCCTTAACTTGTCGTTAGCCACCCACATAGTTCTCGAAGCCTGGAAAATGGGCAGGGTGGTCCCGCTACTGAAGCCTGGCAAGGATGCCAGCAAAGGCGAACCATACAGGCCAATTTCGCTTTTGTCGCCAGTAGCAAAGACTCTCGAGGCCTTACTCCTCCCCAGTATTAGAGGAAACTATTCAGTTGCTAACCATCAACACGGTTTCCGTCCACTACATAGCACTACAACAGCATTGCACGCCATATCCACACATATCAGTCGAGGACTCAACCAGAACAGGCCGTGCCACAGAACAGTAGTGGTGGCTCTCGACCTATCAAAGGCCTTTGATACGGTCAACCATGCCACGCTGTTCGAGGACGTTGAGAACACTACCCTCCGGCCAAGTTTGAAACGTTGGATAGTCAACTATACGTGTGGACTATACGTGGAATTCCGAAATAAGAAGTCCAAGCCTCGTAGAGTGAAACAGGGAGTTCCCCAAGGTGGGTGATATCTCCGGAACTGTTTAACCTCTACCTTTCCGGAATTCCGCGCCCTCCAGACGGCATCGAGATCGTAACTTATGCGGATGATTGTACGATCATGGCGTCGGGTCCTGTAGTTGATGACACATGTGTCAGGGTGAATAACTATCTCGCGGAGCTTGCAGCCTTCTTCCACGCGAGGAATATGAAAATATCCGCCACTAAATCGACGGCCACACTATATACCACATGGACTGCGGAGATGAGAACACAGCTGAATGTGCAGGTCGAGGGGCATATAATTCCGACCACCAACTACCCCAAAATCCTTGGGGTCACATTCGATAGCATGTTCAAGTCTTCCGCGCAAGCCACAGCTATTTGCGATAAAATGAAAAGTAGGAACAAGGTCCTCAAGGCGCTAGCCGGCAGCACTTGGGGTGCGGATAAGGAAACCTTGTTGACCTCTTATAAAGCGATAGGTCGGTCTGTGGTTAGCTATGCGGCTCCAGTGTGGTCGGCGAATACAAGTGCAACGCAGTGGAAATGTATTCAGACCTGCCAGAATGCCACCCTGAGAACTGCAACAGGGTGCCTCCTCATGACGCCTGTGGACCACTTACATGAGGAGACGAAGGTTCTTCCCTTACGTCAGCATAATCATATGCTTTCGTTGCAGTACCTGCTTGGGTGTTATCGCGGGAGTCACCCTAACCACCATTTGGTGGATAGAACTCCTCCACCCAGGCGTGTCAGGAAGGACCTGCACGATCTAGAGAGAGAGGTCCAGCGATATAAGAGAGAGCCTCTAGATCATGAAGCCTATCAAGCGGGTCTGAATAGCATTCATACTGATGCAGTCACAGAGGTAGTTAATAATTACCGTATGAATGCCATACTCGGAGTCCACCCCCCATCCATTGCAGCTGAAGAACGTCGGCTGCCTAGGCAAACGATACTGTACGGGTCTAGTCGGGGTCTTGGACCCGGACTTTGGGTCCCAAGAAAAAAATAGTTTCCCGGGATCAGGGTAAAAATACCTACCAGTGGAAAAATTTTTGAAAAGTTTTTACTAAACTAGAGTTAAGCCTATGTTTCATATCTATCCTTGACTAATTTTCCCATTTTTAGACATACTTTGCATATTTAACAAATACAAGTTTTTATGGGAAATTTGTGAGAATTACATCATACCAACTATGATTATTATAGATATAATTAAAAGTTAAAGGAACTATTATATTCGAGAAATATCCTCCCCTGAATCGATTTTTACTAAATTTGCCAAGGAATTTGTGCCTTTTCAATTAGGGCTTGTTGTTGTTGTTGTAGCAGTTTTACACGTTCTGTTGTTTTTTCCGACTAATCTGGTTCTTCCTCAATGTCCAGGTTTAGGAATTCTGCTACCTTTATGGGCTGTAGCCATAGATCCTCTGGACGGACTTGAATAGGTTTGGCAGGACAATTAAACAAGTGCAGCGTGTTGCGCGGGCCTGTCGTTCCGCACATCCTCATCAATTCGTGCTCAATACGAATTGAGACGGCTGCACCATCCTGAACGTAGTTGGGCCAAAACTACCCTGGTTTGCCTAGGCAGCCGACGTTCTTCAGCTGCAATGGATGGGGGGTGGACTCCGAGTATGGCATTCATACGGTAATTATTAACTACCTCTGTGACTGCATCAGTATGAATGCTATTCAGACCCGCTTGATAGGCTTCATGATCTAGAGGCTCTCTCTTATATCGCTGGACCTCTCTCTCTAGATCGTGCAGGTCCTTCCTGACACGCCTGGGTGGAGGAGTTCTATCCACCATATGGTGGTTAGGGTGACTCCCGCGATAACACCCAAGCAGGTACTGCAACGAAAGCATATGATTATGCTGACGTAAGGGAAGAACCTTCGTCTCCTCATGTAAGTGGTCCACAGGCGTCATGAGGAGGCACCCTGTTGCAGTTCTCAGGGCGGCATTCTGGCAGGTCTGAATACATTTCCACTGCGTTGCACTTGTATTCGCCGACCACACTGGAGCCGCATAGCTAACCACAGACCGACCTATCGCTTTATAAGAGGTCAACAAGGTTTCCTTATCCGCACCCCAAGTGCTGCCGGCTAGCGCCTTGAGGACCATGTTCCTACTTTTCATTTTATCGCAAATAGCTGTGGCTTGCGCGGAAGACTTGAACATGCTATCGAATGTGACCCCAAGGATTTTGGGGTAGTTGGTGGTCGGAATTATATGCCCCTCGACCTGCACATTCAGCTGTGTTCTCATCTCCGCAGTCCATGTGGTATATAGTGTGGCCGTCGATTTAGTGGCGGATATTTTCATATTCCTCGCGTGGAAGAAGGCTGCAAGCTCCGCGAGATAGTTATTCACCCTGACACATGTGTCATCAACTACAGGACCCGACGCCATGATCGTACAATCATCCGCATAAGTTACGATCTCGATGCCGTCTGGAGGGCGCGGAATTCCGGAAAGGTAGAGGATAAACAGTTCCGGAGATATCACCCACCTTGGGGAACTCCCTGTTTCACTCTACGAGGCTTGGACTTCTTATTCCGGAATTCCACGTACGACTGGCGTCCACACGTATAGTTGACTATCCAACGTTTCAAACTTGGCCGGAGGGTAGTGTTCTCAACGTCCTCGAACAGCGTGGCATGGTTGACCGTATCAAAGGCCTTTGATAGGTCGAGAGCCACCACTACTGTTCTGTGGCACGGCCTGTTCTGGTTGAGTCCTCGACTGATATGTGTGGATATGGCGTGCAATGCTGTTGTAGTGCTATGTAGTGGACGGAAACCGTGTTGATGGTTAGCAACTGAATAGTTTCCTCTAATACTGGGGAGGAGTAAGGCCTCGAGAGTCTTTGCTACTGGCGACAAAAGCGAAATTGGCCTGTATGATTCGCCTTTGCTGGCATCCTTGCCAGGCTTCAGTAGGGGGACCACCCTGCCCATTTTCCAGGCTTCGAGAACTATGTGGGTGGCTAACGACAAGTTAAGGACTTTGGTTAAATACTCAACTCCCGGCGTATCCAGTTGCTTCAACATTACCATTGCTATTCCGTCCGGGCCCAACGCTTTAGATGACTTAGCGTTTCGTATGACATTCGCAACATCACCCATCGTAAACTGTGGAGGTACATCCTCGGCGGGAAGAGCTCTTATACGACGTAGTACTCTTCGCCTCGCCCTATCACTCTCGGGGTGCTCGACAAATTGGCGGTTAAAACTCTAGTTTAGTAAAAACTTTTCAAAAATTTTTCCACTGGTAGGTATTTTTACCCTGATCCCGGGAAACTATTTTTTTCTTGGGACCCAAAGTCCGGGTCCAAGACCCCGACTAGACCCGTACAGTATCGTTTGAAATTATGAAAATACCTATCCAACAAGTGGTCACATGATGGCGTAAGTAGTCACGGTTCGGAAGTTATAGTGAAGTTATCGGATTTTTGGACCCGGATTTTTTATAAAACCCCCAAAAAGTCAAATTATAGCTGACACTCTTACCTTTCCAAAATGATACAATTTGTGCTAATACCTTTTTCGGGGCTAGAGATATGGGTATTTCCATCCGCATAACCCGATTCTAACCAGTTTATTAAAATTATGTTTTCAGTAAAAAAAGGTTTATTTCGCGTAGCCGTCGTTGGGATTACAAAAGTTTTCTAAATTTGACGCTTTCCGTAAGCCCCGGACGAAGGCCGGCTATTTACAAAAAGTGTCAAATTTAGAAAACTTTGGTTCGCGTTAACCGGTCAGGGACATACCCAGAGGAGAAAATCTCAAAAGCTATCCAATTTAGAAAACTTTGGTTCGCGTAAGCCGGTGTGGGACATACCCAGAGGAGAAAGTCTTACAAAAAGTGTCAAATTTAGAAAACTTTGATTCGCGTTAGCCGGTGTAGGATATACGCAGAGGAAAAATCTCAAGGCCGGCCGAAGAGGCTTTCCAACGATACCTATATTGCCTATATCGGGTAATAGGGTCTGTGTCCAGGCCGTGTCTTGAACTCGGATTTTCTGGGGTCCCGAGTCTGTTCCCCAAGAAAAAAAAATAGTTTCCCGGAATCAGGGTAAAAATACCTACCTCTGGGAAAATTTTCGAAAAAATCGAAGAGTTTTTACTAAACTAGAGTTGTTCCGAAAAATATAATTTAGATTGAACAAGAGCCAAAGTAGTTTAATTTTTGTTTGCACCTGAAATGTAATGGCAGTTTGGCGATCTAGATAAATTTTGCAAAAGGTTAGGTTTAGTCAGCGTTTTGCGAATTCGTCTGGGGTATAAACAAAAAGTACCGCCATCGACAGTAAGTGCAATATTGAAACAACACATACTAGTTGGTATACAATTAAAACATGTTAAAATATTCATGACCACAAGGACACTTGCCTTAACACAATTGTCGAACTAGAGTTTCTTTCCACTGGGACAGATCAAGTATAATTGTCACATACTAATACAAAGAAGATATCAAATTTTAAGACGTCAATTACTCCAAAACCTTACAGAGACAACAGAAATATGGCAATGGGGGCAACATTAAATTTCATAAAACATCAGTTTTTTCACTAACTCACCGTCAATGGCAGTGTTGACATTTTCCTCGCCTCATAAACCTCTTTTTTAAATTTGTCTTTCAGACCTTCACGGAACTCCATAACTATTATCCGCAAAGATATACCAATTTGTGGTGCTGCAATGCCAACGCAATCATATTTGCGTAGAACTTTGATCATTTGATCTATGATCAAATCAATTTCTTTACTATTTATAACATCCTCTGGAACGTCCACGGCTTTTGATCTCAGGACTGGGTCACCAACTTGTGTGAAGTGTCCATATGGAGGTTGATTACTCGATTTCGGTGACCAAAATTCACGATATTTTTGGGCAAAAGTTTTGCACTTCAGAGTCGTTGTTGAGAAGAAACGTTTCGAGTGATTTATCAGGGCTATGGGTAAAAGGTTGACTTTTTGCAAAGCCATTGCTATTTGTGTTTATTGTGCTTATTTAATTAATATGTGAAGTTAAAGAAGTTAAACTATTATGTTTATGCTGTTTATGCAATCCCAGGCGAATAAAAAAAACTCCGTACCGGTATGTTTTGTCAACAAAAGACAGCTGTTTATCGTCGAAATGTTACAATGGGAGTGTTCGTCAACCTTCTATAACATATGAACAAATAAAAGTTGTTGAATTACTGACATTATTGAATATTAATATTGCCAAATAAAAAATAATGCTAAAATAAAATTTGTAAAAACATAAACAAATTACAAAGATAGGACAAGACAGAGTCAAAATATGGCAGCCCTGTGAAAATACCTCTGTTGTTATGTTATCGTAACAACAATATGAAATAGCTTATGCAATATGAAACAGAATTTGAAACATTTGTCAATTTTTTTGGCTTTTTTTCTATAAACGTGTTTTTACACCCTGCTCCTTGAAAAGGAGGGTATATTAACTTTGTCATTCCGTTAGTAACATTCCTAAATATTCATCATATTCATAATGTATTAATATTCATAGTCCATCTATTATTTGACGTTGAGCGTCAACATTTAGCAGAACAATTTGTATTGTGCCTATGATGGTTGGTATTGAAAATAAGATATATCGGTCCAAGTTTTGACATAGCCCCCATATAACGGTACATTTTTTCCATGGATTTGTCTAAAAACTGGTATTGGTAGGTTATAATGCATTCTAGCTTGTGTGGCGAAACATTGTATGCATAGGTCCACGTTTTGGTATAGCCCCCATATAAAAGCACCTCCCGATATTCCATATTTTGATAAAATTTGGTATTTTTAGTTCATAATGGGTTCTAGCCCGGTGGCAGAGCATTGAACATTTAGTTCGACTTTTTCCTATAGTGCACATATAACTATACCCACCGATATTCGGTATTTTGATAGTCCTAGTCACATTCAATTCAAAATAATTTTAAAAAGAGTTTGCTAGAAGTTAATGGATAAATTTCATCTAATAAAAGGTGTGAGTTACTGGAAAATTATTTTTATTATATAGTGACATGGTAAAATTTAGAAGGTAACGTCATGTAATCATATGTTTGCAATTTTCAGAATTTATCCATTTGACAAGATCTTATTGTCAAAATGTTTATTTAAAATTCAATTTTACATACACATCTCAGCGATGGGAACTTGTTTTCTATGAAGTAAAATTTGACAAGGTAAATTACAGAAAAATGCAGTGCTGGTTATTAAAAGTTGAAATGAGGTTACCTTGATTTAATTGTACCAAGTATAATGCTAAACTTAGTGCTGAAAATCGAAGGAAAATTTGGAAGCTATTTTATTTATCTTACCATAGACTTTGACAAGTATTATTTTATACTCTCAAATATAAAATCGACTATTGATCGATTAGTGAAATCTCAAAACATTATATTTTATTGGACTGCAAATGCAATGTGTCTTATATTACACATACACCTACACCATAATCATTTGCTTACTCTCTAGGAAAATATAAACTACAATCTCAAATTTCAATTCAAACTTGAAGCTTTTGATATCTATTGTTTTTATTGTAGAATTAAAAAAGAAAACAGAGCTTAGCTTTGGATAAAAACAATTATTAACATAAACACAGAACGGCATATCTATACTACAGTCCTTTACTATATAGGTTATTATGCTAAAAAGATCATAATTTAGATCACAAAACGTTTATTTTATTTTTTAAATATAATAAATAGTGCGTAGAGTTGAAGAATACTTATGTTAATTACTACTACTTTTTAAGTCCATATAAATACGATAGCATAGTGTTTCAATTCAGATTCCCATTTAAATTCATAAAGTATTTATGAGCAATTGGAAGGAATTTTTGGTGTTATTACATATTTATGTTTTAAACAAAGGATTTTATTGTTCAGTTCCAAATTATGTAGACCGTTTTTTTGGTTTATTTTGATTATTACAGATCATTATTTTATGCTTGGCATCTACCGTGCAACATGATCATTTCTTTCTAGACTTAGATTTCGTTTTGCAACTATTCGTGATTATTCTCATTCATATATTTGGCAACACACAACATATTTTGTTGAATTGATATTTAAAAATAATCTAAATTTATAGCAAATGTGTCATTCTCTCGCAATCTTTGCTTCGACGTAAATACAAAGATCGCAAGGGGTTGACTTTTTCTGGCATTTCACTAAGATAGAATTCTTTGCGACTACAGCAGCCATAATCTTATATCATGCGATTTACCAATGCAGTCTTTTATATATAAAACATACACATTTAATAGCTAAACACATAAAAAAAAATATTGTTGTCAGATATATTGTGTAGCTTGAATTTTAATATTTTAGAATTTAATTCGGAACTGAACTTATATTTGGTATGATTTTCTTTTATAAAATTTAGGCTGTCTTGTGGGTTTAATATAAGAATGAGTTTATATATCTGTATGCGACTTGACCTAAAATATTCATATGCACAATTGGCATGTTGAACATTTTCCGAAAATTACTTTTTACTAAAAATCCCACGATAGACCAAAATTTGTCTTTGCTGTTATTGTAGTATATATACTTGTAATTCCCAGTACATGGTGACTCCATGTGTTTATGTGCTTAGTTTTTTATAGAATTTGGAAAATGGCTGGGACATATCACCGAATATAAAGAACATCGGTCCTCTTGTGCATTTTATGACTTGTAATATCAAGCTAATCAATTGATAGACGATCATTATAATGGCATACAGTGATAATACATACGATGTACCCAAAGTATACTCATCAAATACTTCACTGCAATCGTCTGGCATCATAAGTGGTATATTCCAAATACGACCAATAAGTTGCGGATGACAAATTGCTGTCAATGTCAAATATACTCCAAAGAACAGGGTGCATATGCTGAAAACCATGCCGGCATTATAGTATCGCAGATTATATTGTCCCACACAACAATCTAGCCAATAGCTATGATGGCTTTGCATCATTATGCAGGCATTGCAGACATGACAATGTATAGTACGAGCCGAGACGTATTTACGACATACATGGCACATGTTAGTCTGGTGAGAGTTTGCCCTATTCTTCTGAGATCTTATGGGCGAGTCGTTATCTATCAACAATGCAGTGTGGGCAGCAGCTTCCTCTTCCTCCTCCGCTGCAGTTGCTTCGGTAATGTCAGCCAAATCATCATCTGTCGAACGACTGGGTATATCATGGCATGCAGCAGCATGTTTTTTTGTTTGCCACATAAAGTAGACACTTGCACAGCCCATTAGAACTAATATGCAATTTTCCTCTGGTAGCAATTCTAATAGCGGCACGGCAAACTGCAATCCCGCAACCATATACACAACTGACCACCATAACCACATGTAAAAGAATCTCGTCTTTACATTGTTACGTTTGATATACTGATGGGCGTATCCCAAGAAGACAATAATTGAGCCCAACATTATGTACGATGTTACTTCGTTAAGGGCGGCAAGACCCAAAACCAGGGGATATACAGCACCAGGTATAATGGCCTCCATTGAGATTCGTTTAGCACCACCTCTCCACGGTAAACGCAAACGATCTTGGAATGTTAAAAGCATATTACGCTTATTAGAAGCGTCTACTTTGTTGCAGGTAATACAGTCGGTAAAGGCAGTATCCAAATCCACGCAGTTACAACAACAGCCCAGGATGTGAAACCGCTGTTTGTCACGATCAATGTACTCGCAACAGCAAAGCGAAGAATCTATCTGAGACTCCTCTTCACCGGCTTTTTGAGCAACGGCTATATAGTCGTAATTGGTCATTATATTGAATGTTGTCACCAGTATCAACGAAGTACGAAGGTTTTATATGAGTCCAATATTTCCAGGAAGCAGCATGAAAATATACATAATCGCAGTCTTATAAAGAATTGTTCTTTTGCATAAAATCACAAATAATAGTAAACCAACTGAAAAGGACTGAACACACAAATAATTTTATCAAACAAAAAGCGATATAAAACAAATAATTGACAAAAACAGAATAAATTAAAAATTAACTTTAGTGATTTACCGATTCCAAAATTAGTTAGTTTACAAATATTTTGCAGCTCCACAGACAAGGACTTGACGCATTTGATAGTGTTGTTCTGTGTATTCTGCATTAGCGGTTAGTTGGCCACGTAACGTACGTCGTTTTACAAGTACCGGCTATCAAGACACGTAACGTTATATTTATGTATGTACAATTTTATCCGGATTAAACCGATTTTTGTCCAATCAGTTTTACTTAAAATCTACTACGGAATCTATATACTTATAACGTATAAAGAAAAAACTGCTGAGTAACATACACATCCTTCTAAAAGTTGTATGTAGACAGACAAGGTTATCTCACTAGACCTAATCATGGTATAATAAAAAGATAAGGTTGAGCTACCAGCTGATTGCAATTCTTCTAAAAGACTGTTAAACGATATCGAAAGAAAATTTTTGCGAACGAAAGAATGCGTTTCAGTAACATTCGTTCGTTTTTTCGCACAGCCTTACGTGGCTCAGTGTTGCTAAATATACCTTTTAAAAATTTAATCGCGAAATTAAACAAAAAAGCGCAAAAATGACAAATTCATACGCGAAAAAGCTGTGATGTTCGTACAAGTGTTCGCTTTGATGGATTTATGTGGAAAGGAAATCAGCTGTTTGTGGTGTAAAAGGTGTGCGAACGTGTTTGTTCGATTTCGTGGAACAGGCTGTAAGTCTGCCCGACTTCTGCCAATTTTGTACATGTATTTATTATTTTCAAAATCAATGGTTGAAAATATCGTACATTGCTGGGTGCGCATTAAAGATATTAACCTATTTTGCCATGAAAATTAAACATTAAACTGTTTCGATCTTCTTAAAGAAAGTCCAGTATTTCATTAATTTTTCCCGCTATTAACCCATTTAAAGAAGGAAAATATCCACTGATTGTTAAGAACTTGTTGCATACAATTTTAAATAATTCTGACAAAAAGCGGTCATAGCCCCAGGGCTGTATTTCACTAGTTGTACGAAGCTGTTTTACTACTATAACTAGATCTATTTTTGTATGTTCGGTCATAATATCAAACGGCCTGTCTATTTGTGAAATTAACTTGAAAATTACGAGCTTAATGTGGCTTACTTCTTTGTAGAGAAACAAAGGAGTTTAAGGTTAACTTAGTTTAATTTCGATCCATCAATTATACTTGTTGACCCTACGCTCCTTTGATTTTTTCCGAAGAAGCCATGCTGATGACTAAAGGTGAGAATACATAAAACGTTTGACTGGCTTAAGACATTGACTGGCTTCTTTGTTGAGGAACAAAGGAGATTTACCTCTGTTAATTGTTTCTTCTTTTGCGAAGAAGCCAGTCAGCTTTAAGGTGCTTTAAGGCATATTAAAGTCAAATTATAATAGAAAACGACGCAGGATTTTAGTGCGGCTCTGTAATCCCTCCATGAATTGTCACAAAATATTCCTAGCCATGACTTCAAGCTTCTTACTTACTACCTTTAAGCTGGGAATACATAAAGCGCTTATCTGGCTGGCTTAAGTCATCGGCTGGCTTCTTCGGAAATGAACAAAGGAGCCTAGGGCCAAAATCGAACTAATTCAACCTAAAACTCCTTTGTTCCTCTACGAAGAAGCCAGCCAAATATGCGCTTTATGTGTTTCCACCCTTACTCTCTCAGAAAAAACAAATCTCAACATATTCTAAAATTAGATGCCATATCCGACATTTTTTGTCTTTATTCAACAAAATTTAAAAAAATGTAAAAATTATGGCGTTGACTTTGTTCCATTTTTTTATCTCACCCTGTATTCTTGCATTATTGACAGTAGAAGTGGACAAATTTCTTTCACATTGATTCCATTTTCCTAGATTTACTAATTTTTCTATTAAGAATTTCACATTTTTTAGTCATGCCATTTTTTTGTTGATAAAAGGTGTAGAGAGACAAGGATAGAAGAAAAAATGGCACGATAAGCCACCGCACAGGGTTACATGCCATTTTCTTTGCATTTCTTTTTTTGCATCTTCCGAATTTTTTATGATTTTGACATTTCATATCGTTTCTTTATTGTAATTTTTGATGCGTTTCTTTTATTGTGATGTGATGTTTTTAGTGATTGAATTGTATAGTGAATTATATGAAAATTAATTGGAAGTATTAAAAAGTAAAAAAAGAGAGTTAAAATAAAAGTTAATAATGCAATATTTAACACCTCAATAACTTTTTCCATCATTTCTTCTTTAGATTAACACATTTAATTTTAAATCACTTCTTTATAAATATCTGTTACAAACAATTAGCTCTATACGAAATACTGAATAAAATAAAATGTCAGAAAAAATGCCAAGCACAATTATCGTAAAATGCCACCGTGTAAAGGCGCGAAGATTTACGCAGAAATTTTAAAAGAGAATTGATAAAAATGCCAGCTAAAAATGCCACCGTGTAAAGGCAGTGTTTCACTACCACTTTTTGTCCGGTTGTAAATAAAAGCAATGGTATCATTCCACTGTGATTGGTGTCTGTAAAAAGTCCCCTCATATGTTTAATAACCGCTATTTTCAAAAAAATGTTATTAAACACCACTGCTACTATGAACGTAAACAAACCCCTAAAAACATACCAAAGTTAAAAGATAATATGACACAAAATAAGGGAGAAAACAAGTGGCGAAAAAAACACCCAACAACCATCTGTTTTGTGCTGACTGTTTCTACCCTTATCGATGTTGATTGCGTGTAAACTGCTGCGAGTGGCGAGTTGAAGTTACATTTCATAAATATTGACAGCCAACACCATTGTTGGGCGCCACCACCACCAACAACACTTTACAGTCAAGCTGCCATAGACTCCAAAACAAAAACTAAAGGATATTGATTTTCCAACGAGTGACTGCTACGACGAAGTATACAAACGAATGGCTTTTTAGAAATCATCAAATCAAAGTTGAATCATACTTTTTCGCTCGCGCAAAAATAGCAAATATATTTCTGGAGACAGAAAGAAAAATGCAAAGTTTATAGAAAAATATAATAAATTAAATATTTTATTTAAATAAAAAATACAGGAAACGACTTGAAAATGTGCAATAAAATAAAATTTTAAGAAAATATTGAATTTTGTTAAAAAAAATCGTTTACAGAAAATGATAATTCATTAATCAAATCCATATCCTATCAAAAGTTTGAAAAACAAAAAGCACGTAGAAAAAAGTTAAAAGAAAAACGTCCTAAATAGTGATACAACATTGTGCACACTAAATTAAATACTCATTGGAATCATCTTGAATTGAAAATATATTGTGAAAAAATAAAATATTATACATCATTACCAGCCATATTCCTTGTCCACAACATATCCTTTCACACACACACATCTACATCCCTGCTTAATTTCAAATTACTTGTGGATCTTTTTTGTGTGTTGGAAAAAGAACACAAATTTTCACACGAAAATGGCTTTAGATTTTGTGGCGACCTACAAAGTTTTGGTTTTAGGCGATTCCAATGTTGGCAAGACATGCATTGTCCACAGATACTGTGATGAAAAGTATTACGACACATACATCTCCACAATTGGTAAGTGACGTTCTTCGTGTTTTTGATTTCGTCTTTCTTTACATAAGGGTATCATTAACTTTGCTTCAACGCCTTTCATCTTCTATGACATTAATAATTAATTACTTCTTCTTCTTCCTTTTGTTTGTTGTTGGTACAATGCTTCATTTTATGATGAATCTATGCTCTTTCGTGTGTGCTTAGCCTTAATATTGGATTGGTTTCTCTCTTTAAGGACATGAACGATGTTTGTGATTGTAATGAAATGCCAATTAATTAGTGTTCAATATCTGTTCTCTCATTTTCGCTTCCAGAGGGAGATTTATTCGAACATTAAAAGCATCTCATTAAACACAATGACGTTTAAGTGTACAGGTTTATGGTATTTATGGCTTTGTTCTTAGCTCGTAAACAGAAGAAAAGACATTCGAGGGGTGGAATTTAATTGTTCGTTTAGGTATTCTGTCAATATATTACTTAAAACATATATATAGAGTACCTTTTAAATCTAAAAAAAATTATTACACACACTTATCCAAACGATATATTGAGTTTATGAAACACTAAAATACTTCAAACCATTTTTGATCTTGCACAAAACATTATCACCGATATCTGGTGACCACTTGGCAAAAAAATTCCTTTTTTATATAATACAGGGTGAGATGAAAAACTGCAAAAAAGTCAAACGCCATCATTTTTAATTTTATTGAATGAAACCAAAAAATGTCGGAAATGGCATCAAATTTTAGAATAAGTTTAGATTTGTTCGAATTGGTCATCTTTGGCACAAATTATGGTCTTCGAACGGCCAATTAAACCGCCACACGCTGCCCGAATGCATATTCCCGGCGAAGGCTTTAAAACACCCTCCAGAACATTTGCGCGATAATATTCGGAATTTATTCTGATGCCACGGTCGATTAATACGAGCGGAGAGCGACTATCTGCTGTTATGGCGGCCCACTCAATTATCATGGCCGGCGCCTGAGTTCTGGTGGCCAACCGAAGGTGCACATTTTCAGCTGACCTCTTTGACAAGTAAACACGATTATTTCGTTTGTTTACAAACTGCTGTTTTTTCTGTTGCGGTGTATGTTCTTGAACTTTTTGGAATTTGAAGCTCATTTTTCAATATTTGCCAAATGGAATATTACGATATGTTCAGCTCACGAGCCATTTTTCGGCCACTTCGACGCGGGTTTCGATCAAGTCCCTTCTTTTCGAACCATTTCTGCTGATGTTGCTGTTTTCTTCCTTGACGTCGGGCTATGCTACCAGCATCACGTTTATTCATATTTAAATGCTGGAGTGCTCCAACTATAGCCACTTGTGGTTTTCCAGCCAAATATAAAGAAATCACACTATCACGCTTCAATTCCATTACGAATAACTTTTTTTCTGGAAAATTCTCACCAAAATGCTTTTGTACGCTTGTAAACAATATAATGAGCTGTCACTGGAATAATTTTAACAGCTTTCGGACGAGTGGCTTAGAAATGACAGAAGTCTGAAGTTGGTTGCGGTTTTTACATCTCACCTTTATTTTCTTTATGTTCTCAAAACTGATTTTTTTGAAATAAGACACTCCTTATAATTTTGCGAAATACTGAAGAATAATGTGATTTTGGAAAATAGAGGGACCTTATTTAATTTCTCTCGTTATGTTTTATAAAAGCAGCGTTTTTTATTAGTGATTAAAATTATCAAGAAAATGCAAGACCACCAATATACACCAGTTCGCTTAGTTTCGAGTCAATATATTCCTTTGGTAAAAACTTTGTATATCCAAGTGTCGATCGTAAGCTAAATAGAAGAATAAAGTGTAACTAAAGTAAATGGAAATTACCTTGGTATTTCGCGATAGAGCGAACCCCTTTACGCTCTTTACGCAAGCTCTCATATAAATTTGTATCCGGATTTAAAGTACGTCAACATACAAATCTTTTTTTTTTCGAATTAACCCTAAACCATGTTCCTGCAAATTTTAAATACCACATGAAAAGGTAAAATTTGTTTACACTTTTTTGATTTTTGTTTATCTTTTGTCTGTGATTTCAATCACAATAATGCAATTTAACATTACATTTGGTGGTTAGCTGGCTTGGCAGGGGGACCTTATACTTGGACCAAGACATTTTGGCATTGGTAATAAACTTTACTATGGAAATTATATATATTAATTTTATTGTGAATAATCAATTATCACTGTAAACCCTCGGTAAAGATTTAGAATATAAACCATGGTAGAAAAATACAGGTAGACGCATCGACGCAGCAAACCTCCGATTTGCCAAAAAAAAAAAATATGTTAATAAGTTGGAACAAGCATTAAGCAAGCGCATAGATGGTATTTTCATGGTAGAAGAATACAGGTAGTCCCATCGACACAGCTGCTGGGACAATGAACTGTCAAACCGATTTTGAAATTGAAAATCGTGAATGAAAAATTATTGAAATTTGTAAAAATTGTTGAAAATACATATCATTACAACCTCCGATTTGCGTCGTATAAGAAAACATATAAAAATCGAATTATTTTTGACAAATTTTGAAATATCAATTTTCCCAAGCGTTGATGCATCTACCTATATTCTTCTACCATGGTTTTTTAATGGCTTAAGTCATCGACCGGCTTCTTCGTAAAAGAGCAAGGGAGTTTTAGTTGGAGTATAACTTTTTTTACGGAGTATACTTGTTGACCATACGCTCCCTTACTCTTTTAAGAAGTAGCCAGTCAAAAAGCGTTTTATGTATTCTCACCTACAGTTTTCTTTTAAATGCTACAAACGTGAATGAAAACTTAATATTTTTTCTACACCATTTTTGGTTAATTTTGGATTGTCTTTTAGCGACATTTATATCATCTGAGCGACATTTATATCATCCTAAAGTTATACACATACACAATGTTAAACCATAAATCGAATAAAAAATCCAGTGGGTTTACCTTCATTGCTATAAAAATATGTTTATGCCAAAAAAAAACCTAGTATGTTTTTCATTGAAAACCATTTTTAATTATGTAGAAAAGTTTTTAAATAATTTCAAAAATTAATTCCAAAACTATTTACACAATACTTCTGACTTTTTCGATTAAGACTAGGCGGGTATATTTGCTATAATTTTTATCGTTCTCCTTTGAACTTGCTTTTGCATTTATACAAGGCAATTTTGTTCTTTATAATTTCGTCATAGTTTTTTTATAATTTTTTATGAAAATAAGAACACATAGGTCGGTTATTACATATTTCCGATAGATAACAAAATTATGTTGTCGGCCAATTAAATCTCTCCGATAAGCAGATGATCTTCCCTTTATTTTTTGACGTAAAGTTTACTGAATTCATGTTGCCATATTTTATTTTGATAATATGGCAATAACACCAAATTGTATTCAAATAAAAAATGGACAACGCAAATTGTGTATTTTATATTAAAGAAATTAATTAATGATTTATTTCACGAAATTAATTGCAAATTCGCTTTGCTTATTTCTTATAAACAAAAGGAAGATGCCACTGTGAACAAATGCTGTGACTACCATAAAAATAACCCAATAATGTGAACTATTCTTTACTTTTTCCAATCTAAGAAATTAAAAAACGGGGCTATAAAAAAATATATAAAAACGGGAATTGCCAGTACGAGCAATGTTGTGCCATTTCTTTATCCCTCTCTCCAACAAATAGAGACTAGCCACAAGTAAACGTGCCAAATATAAATTCGGACTTAGGGTGGAAACACATAAAGAGCCTATTTGGCTGGCTTAAGTCATCGGCTGGCTTCTTCGTAGGGGAACAAAGGAGTTTTAGGTTGACTTAGTTCGATTTTGGGCCTAGGCTCCTTGTTCATTTCCGAAGAAGCCAGCCGGTGACTTAAGCCAGTCAGATAAGCGCTGTATGTATTCCCACCTTTAGGGCGAGAATACATAAGTCATCGGCTGGCTTTTTCGTAGAGGAACAAAAGAGTTTTAGGTTAGATTTTGGCCCTAGGCTCTTTTGTTCATTTCCGAAGAAGCCAGTCAAGAAAGCGTTTTATGTATTCTTAAGTATTTTTTTCACTATTGGGATTAGACTCTCTTTGAATTTCAAATCAAAATATGTCTTTTGATATCAAACTTAGTTGTCAGATGCAGTTGTTACTTGCCAACCTTATATAATACTGCTAACAGTCATGGTACAATAAGGAGGTAGAACAGCTTTGTAAAACTACTGAAAAACAGCCTTAGACTATGCCCGTTTTCTGTTTGTGAGCATGGTACAAATATCTTCTTTTATTGTACCATGCTCAAATTTAAAAAATTAATTTCTTTTGAATTGATAATATTACCGTTTTACAGGTATTGATTTCAAACAAAAGCTCATCAATCTGGATGGAGTTCCGATAAAACTGCAAATTTGGGATACTGCCGGTCAAGAACGCTTCCGTACATTAACAACCGCCTACTACAGAGGAGCTATGGGAATACTGTTAATGTATGATGTGACAAATTTGGAAAGTTACAATAATCTTTCGTACTGGTTAAGAAATATTCAAGAGGTAAAGTAACATGAACAAACTATTAAAAATAAACAATAATTATTATTATTTTCTTTCAGAACGCGTCACCGGATGTTGTAAAAGTTTTAGCGGGAAACAAATGTGAATGCTCAGCCACACAAAGGATGGTGGATAAAGAAAGAGGTGAAAAGGTAAGCAAAGTCGACATACAGTTTAACGATCATATATGAAGTCAGCATTATTGTTAAAACATTTATTATTGTTGTAATTGTTCTAATATTGGAACTGAGACGTAAAATTTCAAGTCATTGATAGCATTGTGTATAATCTTAGTACGGGCTTACACTGATTATCGGTTTTTGGTAGTTCAACCTCCTCCCAAAATTTAGTACCAATACTTTGTTCTATTACCTAAAAAGTCAGCTGATAACTTATAACTATGGGAACATATGTTAAGCTTATGTTATGTTAAGTGCTATTAGGTACAAATCCCCAGGATGCTTTCTCAACTCCAAGGTTATTAAAAGCAATTGTAGAAGAATACAGGTAGATGCATCATCACTTGAGAACATTGATATGTCAGGTTGTTTTTTTTTTTTTTTTTTTTTCAAATATAAGAAGATTTTTATATGTTTTCCTATACGACGTCAATCGGAGGTTGTTATAATATGAGTTTTTCAACAACATTTACAAATTTAAAAAAATTTTCATTCAAAAATTTTCAATCCCAAAATTTTCAATCCCAAAATTGGTTTGACGATGCGTCTACCTGTATTCCTCTACAATAATGAAAGCGTTCCACCAAAGCCGTTTAATTCGGATGAGACCGAGAAGGTTTATCGTTATAGAGCGTTTAAATACAACAACTTTCCCAGGTTATCCTCAATAATTGACCAATCACAATAATTTTAACGCCAATTTTATAGCGATGGGCAATTATCAGGATTAGTTTGGATAAAGATAAAGGTAACCTCATTTCACATTAGCATTCCCAGCTCTGAATTTTCTATAATTTAACTTGTCAAATTTTAATGCATAAAAAAGTTCCCATATCCGATTTTGTGTGTATACAATGGATTTATGAATACAGATTTTGACAATGGGATGTCAAATGTATAAATTTGAAAAAATTGTATACATATGATTTCCTGACTTTACCTTCTTAGTTCTACCATGGATTTCTATGTAAACATAGTTTTCCTAAACAAATATCTGTGGTTGTTGTTTTATGGCTCAAAGCGCGTATCCGCAAAATTATTGTAAGTTGCACACATAGAAAAAACGTCCAAGGATTTAACTAAATAACTGTAAAACCAAACATGAAGTCCACTAACAAATGTAATTAATTAAGCATCTTCTCCAAAAGAAGCATAATAAAACTAAGATACAAATCATTATTATAAAATATGCCCCTTAGCGTTTATAACAGAAAACTTTTATTTCAGATCGCCGAAAATTTCGATATGCCATTCTTTGAGGTATCCTGTAAAAATAATATTAATATTGAAGAAGCATTCCTATCACTAGCAAGAAAAATACGAGAGCAAAGAGAGAGAAGGGTAAGTTCGAAAAAATATATTTTTTTGTTATATATTCGTATTTAATCATTTTCTGCTTTTCTAGGGTGAAAACTTTGATAACGATGACAAACCGCAAGACAAGAAATCACCAGGTTCAAATGGTTTAGGCACATTCAGTTTAGCCAGTCTATCGGAGGCTAATCGCTGTGCATGTTAAACAAAAACTCACTCATCCAAAGAAAATTAAAAGAAAAACAAAATGATAATTATTTTAAATGATCTTTTTAAGAAAATTATTATTAAATATTATAATTCAAATTAAAAAAGAAAACGAAAACAAAATATATAATAATTCTTGTAAACACACAATTTTGCTGCAAAACCAAAAGATGAGCAACAAAAACACAACAAATTTTGTCCAATAACAAACAAACAAAAAACAAATTATAATAAAAAACACAGCAATTAGTAAACATTTTATCAAACAAAAAATGCCAAAGTGATGAATTCTATATAAAAGAAAGAGAAAAATCGCTTCAATTGTTAATAACAAAATGCCAGTATGATCCACACAAAAGTTCAATATATCGTATTATATTTGTTTTGTTTGATCATTTTAATAACGTGACTGTCCTTTGGGAAGTTTGCTGGACTGTAAGCACATTTGTAACACGTTTATATAGAAAATCTCTACCCGGATTTACCATTATAATTGACCAATCACAATCAAACAAACCAGATGTAATGTCAAAATTTATTTACACTTTATAGCCTGTTGTTTATTTTTTCTTCTGTGATTTCAATCACAATAATGCATTTTGACATTTCGTTTGGTAGTTAGCTGGCTTGGAAGGGGGACCTTAAGGTGAGAATACATAAAACGCTTTTTTGACTGGCTTAAGTCGTCGGCTAGCTTCTTCGGAAAAGAACAAAGATGCGTAGGGCCAAAATCGAACTTAGTCAACCTAAAACTCCTTTAGTCCTCTACGAAGAAGCTAGCCGATAACTCAAGTCAGTCGAAAAGCTTTTTATGTACTCTCACCTTTATTCTTAATAATCAGGTTTAATCGATTGGCTGATAACATGACACAATCAATTATAGTGATTAAAGTACGTTTATATTTAAGAAATCCACTCGATCTCAAATGTCAATTCCATGGCAGAAGAATACAGGTAGATGCATCAACGCTTGGGAGCATTGATATGCCAAAAAATTTTAAATGTTTTTTTTTTTTCAAATATAAGTCGATTTTTATATGTTTTCTTATACGACGTTATTATAATTCTTGTTTTCCAACAATTTTTACAAATTTAATAATTTTTCATTCAACATTTTAAATTCCAAAATTGGTTTGACAGTTCATTGTCCCACCAGCTGTGTCGATGCGTCTACCTATATTATTCTTCAATGGCGTATATGCCAAATAATATCCACTGGATTTATGAATACGATTTACGTGATATATACGCTATTGAATTGTCATCTGAAATCGATTGGAGTTTTTAGTCTAAAAGTGGTGTTAGAATCACCGTACGCAAAATAAACAATAAACAAAACGTAAACAAGTTTTGACATTTCGTCTGGTTGGTCTTATTATTGCGCCATTAATTACTAGATAAAGTAGTTATCTTAAATCGAATTTCACATTGCCCTCTTTTACAAGTTTGAAGGCGGAAGTACATAAAGAGCTTTTCTGGTTGGCATAATGATTGATGGACAATTTAAAGTACGTGTGTTTACATTCAAGTCTTTATTAGTATAAACTATGATAAACAACTTAAATCATCGGCTGGCTTCTTCGGAAAAGAACAAAGGAGTATATTGGCCAAAATCAAACTAAGTTAACATTAGACTCCTTTGTTCATCTACAAAGAAGCCAGTCGATGACTTAAGCCAGTCAAAAAGGCGTTTTATGTGTTCTCTCCTTAAGTTGTGTCTGGTTACCCAAAATTTTTTTAACAATTGTTGCAATTTTTTACTGTAAGTCGCCTGTTTACACAAAAGTTCTACAGACGAGAGAGATTTGAGAGAGACATTTTGACAGTTCTTTCACAGAGAGTTTCCAAATTCTTGCTGGACAAATTTCTTTTTGCAATAACTTGTAACTCTTGTTCTTCTCCTTCCGGGGATTTATATTTGGTCCAGAAACGTTAGAACATCTTTCTTTTCAAAATTGCCATCACAAGTGTTTTGTTTTTTGGCTCATTTTTATTTTTTTGTCATTTATTTGTTTTATGATAGCCAAATTGTTTTGTTTTGACAAATCAGCTGATTGGCTGCAAGTTTTTGCAGGGATTCCGTCTGTTTACATTTTCCAGACTTCTTGCAAAAGAGAATTAAACTACTAAACTCTCGCAGTAAGAAGCTGCGGAACAATTCCTGTAGACACATCTATAAGCATAAAGCCTATGTTAAACTTATTGCGAATAGTCAATTATCACGGTTAACCCGGGTAACGATTTTGTTAGGCTTTTTCCATGGGAATACCAATAACTTCTGATATAGCAAACCGTGCATTACATAGGAGCTAGTGATAATTTTTTGAACGATATAATTATTATTGTTTTTTCAATAACTACACTCGACATATGCTTCATTTGAATTTACATAAATTATTTGTTATTACTTCAAAATATCTGAAACAATTAAAAAAATGCTCAGCAGCAACTGCGTAGCACCGCATACAAATTTTTCTGTAGATAATAATTATATTTAGATACAACTAAATAATATAGTCAAATAAGAAACATAAAACAAAACAGAAAAAGTTTTCAATGTCATCAACAGCCTTTAATGCAGTAGTCCAATAAAACAGAGCTTGACTTAATTATTTTATGAAGAAAGTATTAAAAACAAAAAAAAACCGAAAACTTCCATTCAAATAACACAGCCCAATAACCTAAAACTCTAATATTCGACACTTATACTTTTATATAACCAAATTTTAGCAAATAAATTTCACAATAAATGTGTATATATCATGAATATCAGCATAGCGTTCGCCTATAGCAAAACAATAATAAACAATCAACTTATCATCATTATATACTCCAAAAACACTCTACTACACTATACTTATGTGTGCATAAAACCTCATGTAGAAATCATATACAATCGAACATGATTATAATGAATTTAAAAAAAAAAATTGCAGTACGCTGTTGTGTGAATTAGACAAATTATTAGTCTGTTCCAGAACCTGCAAGAATCTACTAGTCTTGCAATTTCTTTCGATATCCTAGAGGAAAAATCGGTTAACGTACTAAAAAATGGCACCTAAATTAAGCGTTTTGAGAAGACTTCTTATTTATTCGACATAAAAACAATGGAATTTATAAGCCAAATAAGAGTACGTTTACACTTACTAAATCCAGTGGATTTAGTAAGTGTAAATTCCATTTCATATACGCCAAACGAAATCGACACTCAAATCCTGTGGATTTCATTTGAAGTTATCGCAATGAAACTGGATTGGTTATGTGTGTATGGTGTTTAACGCGTTTTACTTATTGTGAATGATTATTCACTTCAAGGAATGTGTATGTAAACCCACGGTTACAGAACACGAATATTTTAAACTTCACATAAAAACAAAACCTTATTCCAATAATTAACAGCCTGTTCCACGATATTGAAAGAAAATTTGTGCGAACGACAGCAAGTCACTCACTTCCGTATCAGAATGCGTTCCACTATCATTCGTTCGTTCTTTCACATAGACTTACAAGACTCAGTGTTGCTATATATACCATTGAAAAAGTTAATCGCGATAAAGCGATAAAAGACAACCATACGTAAGCTGGCTCTGCCTGAGCTGACAGTTCAGTTGTAAGCAAACAAATAAAATTCCGAGTTTCCCAGAGATTGTGTTCAATTTATTTGAGTTTTTAAAAAATTAATATTTTTGTTCCCCTATATTTTATGGATGATGTGAAGGAGCCTGCTGCTACCAAATATTGGCAGTCCTCTAGCGAACTCAGGATTCTCCTCCAACTCAGGATTCTCGTCAACTAGTGTTTCAGCTGTGTATTAGATGATTATAAATAAAAAATAAAAATTATATATGAAAAATAAAAATTATATTTGACATATTATAATTGTATTTATTATTTTTACTCACCTTTTTGTTTCACTTTTCAATTATGTTGAAACAATTATCTTGAATTATAATTAGACGACAGCAATCACACAAGTGACTTATTTTGACATTTGTGTTCGCATGCGTGCGAAGATAGTGGAACGTAAAATTACACTGTAATGCTTACGCTTTCGTTCGCTTTGATGTTCGTAGAATTTTTCGTTCTGATGAATTTAAGTAGAACGGAAATCAGCTGTTTGTCGTGTAAAAGACATGCGAATGTATTCTTTCGATATCGTGGAACCGGCTGTAAGTCACTTTAGGAACTCGACCAGAAAAGTGCAACTAGCTCCTTTTATCAGTTAAAGGAAAGTAGGCGAGATAATAATGCACAGGCGTGGAAACATGGTAAAAGAATACATCAACGTTTGATATGTCAAAAATTTTAAAATATTTTTTTTTTAAAAATAAATAGATTTTTTAACAGTTTTCCTATACGACACCAGTCGGTGGTTTTTTACAATATGAAACAATTTTTACAAATTTGAATAAAAAAATATAATATCAAAATTGGTTTGACAGTTCATTGTCCCAGCAACTGCATTAATGCGAATACATGCATTCTTCTACCATGCGTGAAAAAGATCTAGAAGTATGTTTACATATACATATTTACGAAGGAAACATAACTTAAATTTATTGTGATTGGTCAATAATTACGTTTAACTCTGTTTAGAAATTTGTATACAAACCTGTTAACGAATTATTGTCAAATAGCCCGGTATATACTGCAAATAATTGAAAGTTAGTTTGGAGCTCTCCCAGCTGATCATGTTTTAGAAAACATGTAGACATGCCTCGCTGCTTTGTAGAAATTTCTAGAGAGTTCAATTCGTTAAAAAATAGCATGCTGTCAAAATTTGTATTTTCATACGTTTAATTCCCAATTGTATGTATTTTGATAATACGTTCGAGATCACATAGTCTTATCGGATGTCCGTTTAAAAATGTTCGCATTTGAAGCGTAGAAAACCCGATGCAACCAAAACGAGTCACTGTTTGATGTGGATGTTGTTCCTAAGGCGAAATTGGTCATTTATCTTTTATGGAGATTTATTTGACGGATATGCAATGGAAATTGCAATTTAAATCCACGGTATTAACTAAGCCCGATGTACTGTAAACAAACTATAACTCGGCAAGAAGCTATAACGTAAACTTCTATATTAAAACACTTCAGTAATTAGAGACTAAAAGAGTCAATATGTGCAGGATTTACCACAGTAAAGTTGTTAAAACACTTATTGTGAATGAAATAATAGTACGAAAGATAAGCAAACAGTAAGCGAAACGTAAACAAATTTTGACATTTAGTCTGATTGATGTAACACATCATTATTGCGCCATGACTAGTGTATATTAAATGGCTTTAAGAAATGAGCTGAAAGAGATTCTCCCTACAAAAATATGTTACTAAAAATGGGCTATTTGACGTAGTTGCTTTATATAGTTCACACTGCACTCTTTTCATTTTTACTATTTTAATATTGAAATTTCTATAATAAGCACACAAATAGGCTACAGTTTTTATTATTCGTATATCCGTATATTATCAAATATCCGTATAATTTTCAATTCAGCTATTCTTACCTTAAAGATGCAGGGGTAAATAAAGAGCTTTTTTATGGCTGGCTTCTTCGTAAAAGAGCAAATACTCGTAGGTTGAACAAGTATGAATGATGGGTCAAAATCGAACTAAGTGAATCTAAATCCAGTCGATGACTTAGGCTGGAAATACATAAAGAGCATATTTGGCTGGCTTCTTCGTAGATGAACAAAGGAGTTTTAGGTTGACTTAGTTCGATTTTGGCCCTAGGCTCCTTTGCTCATTTCCGAAGAAGCCAGCCAGATAAGCGCTTTATGTATTTCCAGCTTTAGGCCAATTAAAAAAGCAAAATCTCACCTTAAGGATTTTCTATCTGCAGTCGTTTTGTTACAACGTGTTCGATTGTACATTTTTGTTTCAACAGATACAAACCCAACGAATAGTAAAACAAAATTAACCATGACTCTGAAGTTTAATTTAATAATATGAAATAATTTTTTATTGTTTAGCTTTCTCTTTCTCTCAGTTTTAGTCAATGTTTATTGTCATTAAATCGATAAGAAAACAATAAAAGCAACTTTACCTATGTAAATATACTAATTAATTTTAAACAATTATTCAGTTTTATTGTCAATTAATTTAATTTTTAACTAAACTAAATTTTTAATACAATAATAAAAACACTTTCATACATACATATAAAAATATTTAAAACAAAACAGATATATATAAAAAGTATATTATTGAAATCTTTATAAAGAATAAAATGAAAACAAATGCATCTCTAATTTCCGAAATACATACATTTTAATATAAGTATATGACATTTTTATTAACTCTATAAAACAACAAAAAGTGTATAACAAAAAAAAAAATAAAAAACAATAAATTGAAGAATAAAATTAAGATATACAAATGCGGCTGTAAGTATTATTTAGCTACGTTTACACACAAATATTTATAAAGATTAACCCTAATAATAAACTAATCACAATAAATCATACTAACAATTTATTGTGATTGGTTAATTAACATAGTCAAACCTGATTTAGATATGTATACTCTGTTCCAAGAGTCTACTAATTTTCGATATCATAAAGGGAAAATCAGCTATCGTAGTAAAAACTTTTACATTCTAGCAGTTCTGGAACAGACCAATAATGTATCTAAAATAATTTTTAAACTTCTGGAAAAGGTAAGTATTTCCACTACACTCCCACTCGAATTGAAAATTTTAAATCTCTGATTACAGCCAAAACTTGTAAAGAAGAACTTAAGCTGAGAATACATAAAGCGCTTATTTGGCTGGCTTAAGTCATCGGCTGGCTTCTTCGGAAATGAACAAAGGAGACTAGGGCCAAAGTCGAACTAGGTCAACCTAAAACTCCTATGTTCATCTACGAAGAAGCCAGCCAAATAAGCGCTTTATGTATTTCCAGCCTTACTGAGTATAAATACGAAATTTATACCGGAATCAATCAGAATAAAATTAACGTATGTTTTCCTTTGTCAAATTTATTGTGATTGGTCAATTATCAGGGTTAACTTTGAAACGACTTTCATCAGATTTGACGTATTTGCTTTTAGTTTTTATTTGGTCATACGTGCCAAAAATGATCCTATTTGGGCTAATATTATACATTTGGTGAAGAAAATACTTAAAATCGGACGAAGATATATATAAGAGCTATATCAATATTTGAATATCATTAATTTGAATGGGATTCGTCCTTGGGCCAAACGAATGAACTATGCAATATTTCATCTCAATCATATATTAAACGTGACCTGTACATTCTTTACAAAAATACATGGACAGACGGACGGACATGCATAAATTGACGCAGAAAGTGATTCTATAAAGATCATCAAATGGAACTGTGGGTCTGACTTGGTTCCTCCTGTATGTTACAAACAAATGTACAAAGTATGATAACCTGTACCACAGTAATAATGTTAAAGTATATTTACAAGCAAAACTTCTACCCAGGTTAACCCTGATTGTTGATCAATAAGTTTAATAAATGTTTTATGTAGTCCAAATTATTGTAATTGATTTATAATCACGGTTAACTGGTTTAGAGATGTTGTTGTAAACGCGCTATTAGGATGATATAATTGCCGGCCAGCTGATGTTTGCTTACGTATGTATTATGGTAGAAGGAACTGTCAAATGTCAAACTGTCAAATTTTGAATTAAAAATCTTGAGGATTGGTGGCTCTTTCCCTGCCTAAAGCTGGGAATACATAAAGCGCTTATTTGGCTGGCTTAAGTCATCGGCTGGCTTCTTCGGAAATGAACAAAGGAGACTAGGGCCAATGTCGAACTAGGTCAACCTAAAACTCCTTTGTTCAAAGACCTAAAATGGTAAAGACTAGACAAAATGCATTTTGAGCAAATAGTTTGTGTCTATAATACATAGAGTAACAGCTCATGGCAGAGACATGTTAATATAAAAACCACAATTACAGAAACGAATAACAAATAAAAATTTGAAAAATCTAAAATTTTGGTTTCAAAATTTTATTCCATAGACCTTTCCAAAAGCGGTTTAAATCAGTTAACATTGGTAAATATGTTGTTATGATATCGTAACAACAGAGGTATTTTCACATGGTTGCCATGTTTTGACTCTGTCTTGTCCTATCTTTACACTTCTATGTCTTTGCTTTGTTCATCTACGAAGAAGCCAGCCAAATATAAAGTGCATATTTCGTTGGCTTAAGTCACCGGCTGGCTTCTTCGTAGATGAACAAAGGAGTTTTAGGTTGATTTAGTTCGATTTTGGGCCTAGGCTCCTTTGTTCATTTCCGAAGAAGCCAGCCGATGACTTAAGCCAGCCAAATATGCTCTTTATGTATTTCCAGCCTTATTCCCTGCCTAAAGCGCATATTTGGCTGGTTTAAGTCATCGGCTGGCTTCTTCGTAGATGAACAAAGGAGTTTTAGGTTGACTTAGTTCGATTTTGGCCCTAGGCTCCTTTGTTAATTTCCAAAGAAGCCAGTCGATGACTTAAGCCAGCCAGATAAGCGCTTTATGTATTCCCACCTTTAAACCAGCCAGATAAGAGCTTTATATATTCCCACCTTACCTCCTAATCACAATCTGTTTCTCTTGGTGTCGCTATTCTGTTAAAACATTTACACAGTTGGAATATATGTGTATTGTATCAAATAAAGAAGACAATATTTTGAAGTTATTTCAAATTCAGTTCCAAAAGAGTTGCATATTATCCACGTTAACAGCAACAAAATGTATAATTTTGGGATAAAAAACTATTTGGGAGAGTACATAAGGGTCTTTTTTAGACTGGCTTAAGTTATCGGCTGGCTTCTTCGTAGAGGAACAAAGGATTTTAGGTTGACTTAGTTCGATTTTGGCATGATTTGAAAAATGCTCGTTTGTTCTTTTCCGAAGAAGCTGATGACTTAAGCCGCCAAAAAAGCGTTTTATTTTTATGTATTCTCACCTTAATTCTTTCTATCTTGCACTTAATTTTGTGGGGAAACCAATATTCCATTCACTTCTGTAGGGGTTTTCCATTTAATAATTTTGTGAAAAAAATATGTTTAACAAACAAAACCTAGTTGACACAATAAGACTCCAGTACAGAGTTGAATTTTTATAATTTATTTGAAGGCGAGCCATAGACTAGTGAAAATATAGATAACGAAAGCTTTCAATGTCGATTGCTAACAGATATCGCAACAATATTTTTTGCGCAGACAGGTGCAGGTTTTGCACTCGACTTCGAAAACAAATTTTTTTAATATTTTTCGATGTCATGATGTATAGGGCAGTTTTTCTATTCCAATATATACAGTTCATAAGACGACATCTGCTGATACGATTTTTTTTTTTTGATGATAAGCGTTGAGAGCAAGCTTTCTGGTTGAGACATGAACACGAGCTTTTCTTGTTTTACAGTTGGCGGGACGTAAAGTCACATGAGCAAATTTGGCTATTTTGAATCAATATAAAATCTATCGCCCAGACTATTGTCAACGCACAGCACTTTAAAAAAATACTCCTTTTAAAAAATTTCTTAAGTATCAAAATACCGAATAGCGACAGATCCCTTTATGTGAAGCCTATAGTTAATATGTAGCCATTTGGCTGAAGCCATAAATGTAATTATCCCACAAATTCCAATGATGTAGAAAACTTTAATTGACATAAAGATTTCTTTGATATCCATAAATCATGTAGTGACAAGTTGAAATATATTTTGATTTAGTGCCTTTGCTTCGGAACAATAACACTAATTATACACTATACAACGGAAGTTCAACGAACTTTTCTTACAACAGTTGACATGTAACGCAATTACACATACATACACACTGTATAGCTAGAAAAATATGTGTTGTTATTTCCTGCAAATACTGTATGTGGGTTATTCCATAAAACGTAGAAGGAAAAAATGC